CTGGACAGATCTACAAGTACTCCCCCTCCTGCCCTGGCCGCAAACAGCTCTTGTCCACCTCCCTGGCTATCACGAGCTGTTAATGCTTCCCTGTACATGGCCCAATTAAATTGTGCACTTGCCTTGGCCACAGTCCGCACTACAATACCGTCGAAGCCGCCGCCGCCGCGGCGGACTACTACAACTACAAGCTCCGTGGCGCTGCGGCGCATCTGAACCTGGGCCTTACGGCAGAGCAACGCGCCGTACTGGACCAGCTAACAATAAAACAGCTGGAGGCGTACATTAGGGGGCATGGGGATATATATGACCTGTCCAAGGCGCTGCCGCAGCACCGCAAACAGCAGCAGCCAGAGCGAGAGCCACAAGAGCAGTCGCAGCAGCAGCCACAAACACAGGAGCAGTCACAGGGGCAGCAGCAGCAAAAAGGTGAGCAACAGCAACAACATGAGGAACAGCAGCATCAGCAAGAGCAGTGGCAAAGCGCGTTTCCGCCGACATCGCCACTGCAGCAACAGCAGCAACCGCAGCAGCAGCAGCAGCAGCAGGAGGAGGAGGAGGAGGAGCAACACCAGGAGACGCAGCAGCAGGAGATTAACGGAGTGGGGGCCCCACTGGCAGGCTCCGAAGACGACCGCGGCGACTTAGCTGCCGTTGTGGAGGGCGGGCGCCGCAGCGGCGGGACGTCCTATCGGTGCATTCTTAAGCGCCTGAGCATGTACCGGGCACAGGTCGCATATAAAGGGTCTGTCTTCTTCAGGTGGGTGGTTAGCCGACTGGGTTGGCTGGCTGAGTGAATGCGGGGGGCCGGGGGCTCTGGGATCCCGTGAACTCGAGGAGGATCGGCGCCTCCATCCCCCCCATGGATTCGAGGAGTGTCCTCCATCCCCCCCATGGATTCGAGGAGTGTCCTCCATCCCCCTCATGCTTGGATGCCGTAGACCTACGCAGCTGATGGGGGGCTGCGGCTGTCGTCGGATGCGTAAGTGCCAATGATAAGCCCTCCTTTGTCCGCTAGTAATCAATAACGAGCAGTAATACTGCCGTTTTGCGCGCAGTCCATACTACGACACTCCCGAGGCGGCTGCTGCCGCCGCCGACTACTACAACTACAAGCTTCGTGGCGCCAAGGCCAACTTGAACTTGGGCCTGGTGGCTGCGCAACGCGCCGTACTGGACCAGCTCACCTTGCAGCAACTCGAGAAGTTCATCAAGGGCCGTGGCGACATCCACAACCTGTCCAATGCCTTACCGCAATGAGAGAGCCACTATGGCGACAAGAGGCCCGAAGATGTTAGGGTCCGATGCGAATGCGTCTGTGTAAGGCTTTTGATCGACCACAGGTTCGCGAGTGCAGTGCGTGCGGTTATTGAGACTATGCACCATTGCCAGACACGCGGTTTTGCTGTGCCCTGGCGCTTCGGCCTTTCAAGAGACGTCAAAACTGTGCGCCGTACATGGTACACAAGGGTCGTTTTCGGAACGCATTGCGGGCTCTGTTTCGACAGCAGGCGCGTGGTTCGTTTTGTTGGGATTGGACTTGTGAATTGTTTTGAGTTGTGTGCAGCTGCCGTCGGGGTAGTAGGATGTACGGACAGTGACGTGCGCTCATTTCCATCATGTACGTGTGCAGGAGAAAAGAAACGGGGTTAACTTGAAGATCGGGCAAGGGCAAGGGTCCTGTAGAAGGATGGCCTGAGGAGCCAGGGGAAAATTGACTCACCTATGTAAGAGCTTATAGGTTATGGCGTGCTTGGTGGCCTATACAGCACCGCCGAGACGGCAATGAATGTTGGCATTGATACGGGTTCGTTTTAAGAAAGGAAACAGCCAGTCGAATCTTCTTCGAAGCCGAAAAGGCCTCGGCCCCGGTGCTGCCAGCCGCCCCACAGTATTTTTTGCAGGGGAGACTGTACGGCAATGGGCTCCAAGTGGAGGAACGGTGTCGTGTTTGGACTATAGGCTCATATATACACTTGCTGCTAAGGCGGCAATCCAAATTCATGGACGGTGGGTGCATTGCGTGCCGCTTCCATCCCAAGAAGAACGGCTGAGCATCCATAGCATCCTGGTCGTCTGCGAACGCAGCCCATTGCCAGTCGACCTGGAGAATAGGACATGTATGAGATCTGTGCGTGAGACGGAGCAGAAGGCAAGGAGGGAAGTGCTGCCGGAGCAGTTGGCATGGATGGGCTGGAGTTGCGGAGTGTGGCGGAGCTCAGTCATAAACAGCTATTTTAAGGAAGTCCCAAGGAAAGCGCGAGAAAACCGCCCGGCCACACAGCATCTATGCAGATGGCAGCACACCGCTCCCCCCCGGCACAAAAGAGTAACCGACCGATTAACAAACCCAGTCGCTTCGGTAGGGTAACCAGCGTTTCAAGATAACCACCCGGCAACCGACCCGGTACCCAGTTACTGGTCAGGTTACCTTACCGACCGGTAACCTTATCGGTCGCCGACCCCGCAGTTACCGGGTTGTTAGCTCGTTATGTCGGTTGCCCTACCGACATAACCCAGGTACCGAAGCGACCAGAGGTCGGCAAATCGGTTTCTACGGCTGCGGGAGGGCATAATTTCGGTCAGAAAATTTTGGGGCACATTCCGGCGCCAAAACAGGGCAGTGTTACCAGCGCTGTCCGTTCCGTACACATTGCAGTCCGATCGTTTCACAAGGTCACGCCTTACGCCTCCTTGTCCGTTGCCATGCCGACCCGTGCTTGCATGTGAAGCTGCACATGGCACGGCGAGTTTCACTCAGCAGTGGAAACAACCATGCTAGCACCGCATCAGCAAATCACGGCAAGTTCTTCTGGTCTTGCACTATGAAGTTAGTATCACTCCCCCGAGTTAGTATCCACCCCCTTCGCCAAGCAATATACATCCTCAAGCCCACCGTGTACATACTCTCGTCTGTTTTGGTCATTTGTCACAAGTCGTATGCCGTTCACCATCCGTCAGAGGCCCACACGCGCCACCAGCGTCGCCCTCACACAGTCGACAGCATGCGGTTGAAGCACGGGTTGTGAAGAATATCCTCGACCTTGAGCACCATAAGAATAATGTGGTGCATCGCTGACTTATGCACGCGCTCTATCAGCCCCTCCACGGCATCAGCGACACCACCCCTGCTGCTGCTGCTCCATGTAAGACTTCAAGAACACCACATCTCACGTTTAAACACGGAAGCTGCAACTTCACTCCCTTAAAATCGATCTGTGGATGTTAATCATGCCTTGTTTCTTGTCCTTCAGGTGCTCCGTGAAGTAACCCCTCCGCGCTCGAAGACCTCTTCACCCCACTCATCTACCTCCTCCTTTTCGGGGTACTCAACGGGATCAAACCGACAAGGACAAGGTGCCGACAAGAAGCTGTTAATCGGGAACCGTGGATCGAGATACTTGATGAGATTCTTGGTGAACTCCTCGAAGAGGTCTTGCATGGCGCTCTTTGGCGACTATGACCATGAACGGATCTGAACCCCGTCGTCACCATAAGGCGCCATGAGGACTTGTGGGCTGCCCTGGCTGCACATCTTCGATGAAGCTCTTCAGCAGCGAGCGCTGCTCCACCGCAACGGTGCCAGCAACATCAGAAAACTTAAACTGCTGGGCTGATGCAACCGGTGCACAAGAAAACTGTTGTGGGGTGTGCACGGGAGGTGACAGGACGAGCAGGGACATACACGACACTTAAGCTGCTGCGCTTGCGTCCGCTTAAACACAACGTCGGTGTGCTCCAGCGCATCCCACATGAAGTGCAGGCCCAAGAATGCAAGGCACAAAATGTCCGCAACATGAACTCCTCCATGAGAGATTGTTTCCGACTAAGCATAATCAGATATATATGCAAAAGGAATGATACGGGCAGGATTTGAACCTGCGCCCTTGCGGATAGGAGCCTTAATCCTACGCCTTAGACCACTCGGCCACCGTACCTGATGACACGAAATTATAAATAGAAGCTAGATTTAATTGAAGAAATACATCTACCGGTCATGCTGGGTTACATCTAAGCCGGTTTGCAGTGCTGCCACAAAACCGAGTGGGATGTCCGCCATATCTGTCCCTCTAGGCATTGCCCAAAGTTAGTGAAGTTGGAAAGCCGATTCGCCCCCTCGGGGCCTGTCTCCCCCACACCTGCGTTAAATAGCACAGCAAAGTGTTCCCTGAAGACCTCAATATCACCTATCACACATCGTTCCCTCAAAGCCAAAGCCCGCCACAAAGCTCGTTGGTCATGCCGACACTTGACCACGAAAAATCTCTCATCCTGCCCCCCGCATATGCCGCCTTGCATGCCTTTTTGCCCGGTTGTAATCCGTCCTCGCGTGGCAGAAAGCCTCCCATTCCAGACCCAACGTACTACTCACCCCGCCTGGACCCAGCAGGGCCCTACGCTCCAACATGCGCTGTCGCGTTTGCCGGCATTCCAGGTTCCACCAAACGGTATCCCCACCTGACGTCGTGCCGATAGGACGGTGTGAACCGAAGGCTCTCACCATTATTTCTGTACAGGGCACCCCCAATACGTTCGACAACTACTTATGTTTTATTAACTGTGTGCTGAACCCTGCGGAACTGGGGTCGCCTTGCTTCGGTTCATTCCCGGATGACATGGGACAGAGGTTTGGAGTGCTTCGGCTTTCTAGGGGTGCTAGCGGCACCGAGCGGCATGCGCAGCAAACTCTGGGGACGGAAAAAAGTCTGCGCCAAACCACCTGCTAACTGCAGGGCTAGGAAAGCGGGAAACTTCCGTCAACTGCAAAGTAGCCTGACAAGCATGCGACAGTCTGCTCCCGTGAGCTGTGGTACTGTCGTGAAATCCATCCAATGTTCAGAAACGTGCCGATGTACCACGACACGACGTAGTCGAAAGATTAGCTAGCAACGGGTTTTTCCTTACCTTCGATACTGTGTACGTCTTTTACCGGTAGGCATTCCGGCATTCCAACATATCATGCCCTCGATTTTACCTGGTGTTGTGCGAGGGGAATGTCTGTAAGGCCCGAAGTTACAATGGCCCAGTCACCTTAAGCCACGCACGCTACCACACTCACGGTAACCGGTGGAATGAAAATTACCGGCCTGCTCACGCGCTCGAATCACCCAACCGCGCAACGCTAAGGCTATTAGCAATTTTTAGTCAGGAGGTAAAAACGAGAGCTCAAAACATTTCCATGGCGCGTGATTTGGGCTCCGCGCCAAGGAATGAGCCCCCCCGCCATCCATCACTGGCTTGCACCCTACATTTATGTACGTGTTCCAGACAGTCCAAAACACCCCAAGTCTTTCGAAGAGCCGTCATCAGCACAGGAGCGTTACCACCTAGGAGGTAGTACCTACGTGCTACCGCAGCGTCCTACATTGCACAAAATGGTACAACCTTGACACCGTCTCATCTTTACAAAGCTGGCCATATGAAGCACTGCTAACATCCGGCTTGCAACACCTGCTCGTATCCCCCAAACACTAAAGGGGGTAGGGCCTGAGATAGCGAGATACCTAGGCAAAGCGCACAACACATGACGGCAATCACGTGAATCAACATCAGTCAATCTAGCTGCATAGGCGCATGTCATATAGCTGTACCCCTGCCCAAATAGTCATCGTGAACAATGCACTTTTCCATCAAACACTAGCAATAAGCAGCGTTCCCGGAGAAAGCTTAGCTGTCCGCCTCCTTAGGCCCCGTCTCCTCGGGCTTCATGGCCGGGAATAGCAGCACCTACGCAGCCGGAAAAGGGCGTTCAATAGTCAACGGACGACACAGACGAGAAGGGTAAACGGATTCACATAATTTGAGAACATACCTAGGGACGAAAAAATATAAACCACAGCGCGGAGTTCAGCTCCCAAACATTATTAGCTAGTTGCACAATGCCCGCTGGCATGCTGTAGATAGACGAAACGAGGCAGCACACCCACATACATGAGGTCACAATCGTTGCCATGCAGCATTGCCGCCGCAACCCCAATTCCATGGATGGTTAACAACATTTCAATAATACATTAGCATGGACTTTCCACACATACAGTACACCATCGACTGAATGGACGGGCGGCCGTGTGTTCTCACCTCCTTGATGTTACAGGTGTCCGTTAGGAGCATGGTCATGCGGTCGATGCCCAGGCCCCAGCCGCCCGTGGGCGGCAGGCCGTATTCTAACGCTGTGCAGAAGGTCTCGTCAATGAACATGGCCTCGTCATCGCCCGCCGACTTGGCCTTTGCCTGGTCCTGGAACAGCTCACGCTGCTTGATGGGGTCGTTCAACTCAGTGTACGCGTTGCACACCTCGCGCTTGTTGATGAACAGCTCAAAGCGTTCCGTCATGTTCGGCAGCTCACGGTGCCTGGTGGTATGAACCGGTAATATAAGCTAATCAGCAACAATTAAGAGGAACGGTCACTACAGCTATGTGGGAACACAGGTTAGATTGCGCAATGTCATGCTACGATACCATGGGAGAACGTGGTCACCATATTGGTGGTTTGGTAGCTGGACGTGTCGCCGGTTCATTCGATGGGCGGAGTCACCGTCACAGATCACCGCCTCCGGAGTTGACCGCCGCTTAGGGAATGATGTGGCCTGGGTTCAAAAGCCGACCAGCGATGGACGGCGTTTGGCGGTTTCTGCCACAGGCACCGATCCAGCAAGAAACTAATGAGAGCCAGACAAACTCGCTTGTAACACTGTACTCCACCCCCCGATTGGTGACGGTCTAGCGCCTGTCCATGATTTTTTTGTGGAAATGTGAACCATTTTGGAGCCGTGTCAGCTTTGCATTCGAGGACAGAGAAGCATGCAATCTCCGGAGTTGCATGCACCGCGTGGTGTTGTTGGAGCCCGGGTCGAAAGCCAGTCCGTCGCGTAGAAAATGAGCTGGTTCATAGCCCAGGCGGATGCAGCGTGCACGGAGCCTCTCATACTTATCCCCCACACCCTTCTGAATGGCACGCCAGTCACACTGCCCGTACAAGTGCGTACATACATGACTGGCAACAACACAAACGAGGACATGCCCCGCAGGCTCTCATGGCATTACCACGGAGGAAATCGACAAAAGCTACACCTTTGTCGACATTGCATTCGAAGGACGGTGCGGCATATGGAAAGGCCCCCGTCTCCGGAGTTGCATGCCGCGGAGGTCTCTGTTGCCCGGGTTCAAAGCCCACCAGCAATAAGACATGCTGACAGGTTCTGCCACAGGCGAGGATAAAGTGCTCAGCCCGCAGGGCACATTGCGGAAGAAGGAAAGCTGGTCGATGGGTCCAATAGCGTGCCGGAGGTTCATTCGATGGGCGTTACCATTGCCAAAGGTCCCGCCTCCGGAGTTGACCGCCGTCCATAAGAGTGTTATGGCCTGGGTTCAAAGCCGACCAGCGATAAGCAGCGCTGCTCGGTTTCTGCCACAGGCTAAGTAGCGAGCGCACCCGTACACAGTCCAGTGAGCTCGTTGCGTCCAAGGAAAGCAGGTCGCGGAATTCAAGAGCATATCGGAGGTTCATTCGATGGGCGTTATCATTGGCAAAGGTCCCGCCTCCGGAGTTGACCGCCGTCCATAAGAGTGTTATGGCCTGGGTTCAAAGCCGACCAGCGATAAGCAGCGCTGCTCGGTTTCTGCCACAGGCTAAGTAGCGAGCGCACCCGTGCACAGCCCAGTAGGCTGATTGCAGCCAAGAAAAGCAGGTCGCGGAATTCAAGAGCATGTCGCCGGTTCATTCGATGGGCGTATCACCGTCACGGATCACCGCCTCCGGAGTTGACCGCCGCTTAGGGAATGATGTGGCCTGGGTTCAAAGCCGACCAGCGATTGAAAGCGGTGCTCGGTTTCTGCCACAGGCACGTCCTCTACCTGGCCCGCGTACCCCTCGTGCCCAGCCGTGCCCGTTGCTTTTCCTTCCGGCCCTTACTCAACAATCGACGCACCTCCCACACCCAGTAATCAATTACTTGTAACGCCCACAGGTAGCTCTATCGGCCGGCCCATCTCCCAGAGTCTGCAAATCACCAACCCACCACTTGGCCAATGGGCTCATGAGCTGCGGGTGGTCGCAGATGAAGGTGGGGTTGACACACTGCTCCTCCAGGAACTCGCCGACCAGCTTGTCCAACAGGCGCGCCGTTGTTTGCGGTGCCGGACAGTTTACGTCGTGCTTGGCGCACAGGTCAATGAGGAGTTGCCGCGCCTCTTCGCTCTCCAGGTCCGTTGGAAGCTTAATGCCCAAGCACTCCTCCAGCCCAGAAACCTAAAGGGTCGGCGAACAGGGGGAGTCCGAGAGCGGGGGCGAGGCATAAATAGTAAAGGTTTCTTTTAAATAGTGGCGGGCCGTGCAACGGGCCCGGATGCAAGCCGGATACACACCATGGAAGTGCGTGGCAGGATGGCGGATAACTAGTTGCGGTGCGGAAAGGCCCAGACCAAGCTGGAAGCACAAGACAGGAACTGTGCGAAGTGATGCCTGGTGATCAGGTGCCTCCGTGCTTTGCAAAACCCTACTTCATGTGATGATGACACACCATGCTGCATGATGTTTGCATACATTCTTCGTCCTTCCAAAGCCTACACTGCTCGCAGCATCCCGCTAGCCGGTGGAACACACTACTTACAACCCTGAATCCAGTTCGTAAGGACGCACCATGGAAATGCGACGCCACGGCGGCGTAAAGTCAATTTCAATGGACGGCTTCTCTGGCCCCTCTGGGTGGTACTGGATCTTGTACGAGCCCTTAATCTCCAGCACCATCTGGCTGATCAAGCTTTCCGTCATGCCCAACAGGTCCTTGTAATCAGCATAGGCCTGGTAGAACTCGCACGTCGTGAACTCAGGGTTGTGCGTCAGGTCAATGCCCTCGTTCCTGAGAGGTTTAAGGAGGCGACAGCGCCAGTGGATTGGAAAAGGTCTAGATGAGCAGGTTAGTGAATCATCGCAAAACGTCGTTTCTAGGATAGGAACGGAATGGACAGGGAGCAATAGTACTTCACCACCTGGAAGGACAGGTAGGAGGAAGGATCACGGCAAGGCCACGCGCTGTGCCCTTGGCATATTTGTATGCAGCTTCGCGCTCTTTGCTAATGACCGCCATAGCATCCAGGATAGCGTGATCGCTGGACTTTCCAGGCTAAGTGCATGCAGCCGCCAACAAGCAGCTGAAGATTGCAGAGCACCAGATGGCAGCAACACATCCGGCGAACCGCGGCCTTATGCTCGTCTTCTAACCTGAACTGGCGCCCGATTTCGTACACGCGCTCCAGGCCGCCGATGACGAGCATCTTCAGGAAGAGCTCTGGCGCGATGCGCATGTACAACTTCATGTCAAGGTCGTTGTGGTGCGTGATGAACGGCCGAGCGGCAGCACCGCCAGGAATCATGTTCATCATAGGCGTCTCCACCTGCGTGCGTCGTCATCACATACATCATACATCATCATCGGACACAACAGTTCTATTTAGGCGCAGATGTCGGTATGAACCTGACCAATCACTTAAACGCTCGGTGACTCCGAGAAACCGTAGCTGCTGCCTGTGTTTTAATATTCCCTGGGTTAGGGTTGGCACACCCCCGGATAGCAAGACGATGGACAACGTCGTATATTAAGTACCCTTAGGTCTAATCCCTCTGCAGCACGTTCCTCTTCCCGAGGCGCACGAGCCGGTAGCAAGGTATGCCCGGGCCCGCCTTCCCGTCACAAGCCAAAGCCAGGTACTCTGCGCACGGGCGGCGGGAAACGGTCCATGTATGTTGCCGTACCTCAAGGAAGCCACGTGTGTCGAGGAAGCGGCGGACGAACTGAATGATGCGGCTGCGCGTGTAGAAAATGTTGCGCACGTCTGTGTTAACGATGAGGTCCAGGTACCGTTGGCGGTAGCGAGTCTCCTGTCCAGCAAGCACAAGGGGGAAAAGCAAATTATGCGTTGATGCACATGGAGTGATGAGCAGCCATAGGGGAAGAACTAAAGGGGACAACCCTAAAGAAAGTGATGAACAGCGACAGCACGCATGCCACGTTGCAAGCTGCACGTATTTTGAACAGGTCAACAGCACGCAAGATCATTTCCATTGTTACACATAATTCGCGTTTCGGGTAATCGCAAGAAGGATGCGCACGTTGAACTGTGCCTTTCCGGGGAGACGACCCGATGGATTGTTCTCGACGACGCTTGGCAATTGGTTTCCGTAGCCCGCGGCCCCCCCCCCGGATCGACCCACCCACCCACCTGATCTTTTAGCCCGAAGTGCGCCGAGGGGGGCATGTGCAGGCAGGGCGACAGCAACACGAACTTGCGTGGGAAGATGGACAGCTCGCCCTTCTTGGACTTGCCGGGGAAGCCCTCCACGCCGACAATGTCTCCGCGCTTGCACTCGTTATGGACAGCGGTGAAGGCCTCCAACGAAAGGTCCGAGTTCCTGCAGGTCGCAATCAGGTCACAATCCGCAGTCAGTAGGGGTCAGCGGAACAGCGGAATAACATTACCAATGGGCAAACATCACAAGCCGTGCCATCTCCAGCCGAGCCCGGGAGCAATAGCATTCACCCCTCCTGAGGTTTTGGCCGGATAGTCGATAAAATATAGACAGCTGCATCCTAACACTGCTGTTAGCCGTAAAGCCAGCCACGTCAGCTTCAAGCACGGCCACGTGTACCGCCAATTTGTACCTGGCATCGGCCATGATTTGGATCTTGACGCCATCCGCCTTCAGGTCGTAAAACAACAGCTTGGATCCAGACGCACGCTTGCTGAAGATCCGGCCTGTTACGCACAACCAAAGGCAACACCTTACTCTGCAGGTTGACTCTTCATCCAGCCACAGGTGTGTTTGCGCTCAAGCACCCTCAACTCCCATTCCCCCTCCGCAGCACGCAGCCCTGACACCAGAGCACGTGAACCCAGATGGCACACCATAATAGATATAAATACGTCCCACTACCAACCCCACCGGAAGCAGCCACCGCTGGCGCTTACCAGCCACAGAGACTGTCGTCTCCGGTTCTTGTTGACCGGACTCCAGGCTGCCGTACTTCGCAATATAGTCCGGCAGCGACATGCTCACATGGAACTTGTGGGGATACGGGTTGATGCCCTTCGCCTTCTTTGCGTTGACATAGCGCACGCGGTTCTCGAAGTATGCCGTGGGATCCGTGATCTCGCTTGCGTCGTCCTCAAGCGCTGCGCCATCCTCCTTGGCTGGCTTCGGAGGCGCCGCAGCAGCGGCCGCTGCCTTGGCTGCCTGTAGCGATGCAGAATACAGCAACACGGCGGGGATTCCCCGTCCTCTGGCTACCCATTAAGGAGCAAAAAGGGAGTGATGCATGTGCTCTACGTCCAAAGTGCTGAGGGAAATGGGCTCGGAGCTTCGTTCGTCCAAAATTTGCCGTAGGGAGTAGTCAGGTCGAACAATTGCACAAGGTGCATGCCCGAAAAGCTCGCCTCCGCAACCAACCCCCTCGGCAACAAGAGCTTCTCTGCTAGCGTTGTACGGCTCGTCTCGCGTGCTAAGTATGCACCAGTGCTGCCGCAGACCTAACTTAGCAGATGCGGGAGATGAGCGTCCGAACTTTGGACGGCTGCAAGGCCGTCTTCCCGTCTCTCGCAAGAGACGGGAAGGACATATCCGGACGGCCGAGGGCACTATGATGAATAAGCATCCTTTATTACCAAAACATTGTAGCGCCTTGCATAACAAGGCGTTGCGTCATCGCTGAGCATTTTGACAAAGCCCGCCGATCGCCCAGCCGCCGACATACCTCCTTTTCCGCCTTCTCAGCTGCTAGCCTCTGAGCCTTCTGTCGCCGCTTGAACTCACTGCAAAACGAATTGAATTTGTTCAGGGACTGATCCAAGCTGTCCAACGAGAGGAGGACCCAGGTCCCGACCTCTTAGACATTGGCTCGCCGTTCTCGTCCTTTAGGTCCTCTGACCACTGCTCCGGAAGGACATACTCCCCTGTCGCCATCTCGCTGACGTGTCTACGCCAAGACTCCGCAAGGACGCAACTGGTGGCCCAGGCAGGCCTCAAAGCAGCCGCCGAAGGAAAGTGTGCACCTTTAGATGCAAATCTACAAGTGATCACGCGCAGACTGGTTATAAACAAGTGTCCTGCACGCTTCATGCGTCTGTGGGGATAACGGCACACATAAATGCGCAAAATAGTGCAGTGAGGCTGCCGTGTACGGCCAGTTTTCCCCGAGAGAGGGAATGGAGTTTTGCTCCTTTCATCGAATTCCCATATTGTATTCGTCGCTTTATTGTTTACCGTGTACAGAGGAATAAAAAATTGTCGCTGGCTATATTCATTTCCGAGTGTTTCCTACCTTGTCGACGTTTTCTCTCGAAGCATAGTGATCAAATGCACATAACGTAGACAAAGCATACATTTTGCTGCTAATAATGAGTAGCAGCTCGAGATACGTGAAGCTTGGTACGCACCTTCTCAACTACACGGCCTCGTGTTGTGCCTGCACCCTTAGTTGGCAGCAGCTTTGCACACGTACATGTTTCTTCTGTACTTCTTGCAGTGGAATTCGCAGCCCACGCCGGGGACGTGAGATGCGTGCGAATTGGGCGCAAGACAGCCGGGGTGCTAGTGACCGGGGGAGATGACAAGAAGGTTAATGTTTGGGCGATTGGCAAGACGACTGCAAGCTTCGTAAGTGCGTGTTTGGGGTTGTCGTGTCAATAACCGGGCGTTCCCACCTGTTCCCAGCGCTAAGCGCAATTCCTTGCTCATGCAGAGTCTAACCGGTCACCAGTCGTCTGTTGAGAGCGTGTCCTTCGACAATGATGAGATGGTGGTGGCGGCCGGTGGCTCAAATGGGAGCATTAAAGTGTTTGAGCTGCAGTCTGGGAGAGGTGAAAAAGGGAGGACAAGCGGGGAGTAATGAACTGTGCATAGCTTGGGGCCATCCCCCATTCCTGCAAACCATCGTGCTTTACCCTTGTTGCATGTAGCATGACCCTGTCACGGTGCTGCCCGTTCGTCACTCCTTAACCTCCCAGGAATCTTTGCAACTTGGAAGTCCTATGTAACAGGTTTGCGGCATAGCAATAACCTTCGCCGGTTCTCCCACAATGTCCTGCCCTTACGAACCCCTGGTCCTGCGCAGTCACCAAGAGTCTGTCGGGGCACAGGAGCAACGTCATGTGCTTGGCGTGGCATCCGTACGACTCGACGATTATATCCGGTTCCATGGATACCAATGTGAAGCTATGGAATTTGCGTGACAAGGAAGCCATTATGACTTTTAAAGGGCACAACGCAGGCGTAACACATGTACGGTACAGCCCTGATGGATATTGGGTTGCATCGGCTTCGAGTGACGGTGCTGTGAAGGTGCGTTGTCTCTGTCAGGCACGGATCCCCAATCAGGGCGGCCGGTATCCCCGGGACAATCCACCTGGCCTTATGGCCATAGCCATTGCTCACAGTGCTTCGCAGATCCCATTAAATTGTTGCCTGACCCAGCGACAGTGGTTTCGGGTTTCGGAGGAGTGTCGCCAAGACATGCATCGCATGTTCTGCAAAGCCTCTGCCGCGTAGCTGCCGCGACAAACGTGTTCCCTGTCTAATGGCTTGCATTTTCCGGCCCCGCTCGCCATGATGCGCGCCATCAAGATCTGGGATGTGCGTGGGAACCGTCTGGTGACGGACCTTTGCGCGCCCACGAAATATGAAATCACCGGCCTGGAGTTCTCGCCCACTGAGTACCTCCTGGCTACGTCGGCACGCGATAAGGTGGTGCGCTTCTGGGACTTGGAAACGTTTACGAACTTCGAGCAGACAGCACCGGAGGCCACGCCCGTCCGCAACATTGCTTTCCACAGCGACGGCAAGTACATCTTCAGCGCTGTCCAGGTGCGTCCGCATGGCCCTGAATCAGGCGAAGAAGGCTACCTCGCCCAGAGAATTTCAGGGTTCTAAGGTTTAGGGTAGGACATAGCCGTGAGAAGAGAATACACACCTGCCAGCGCTCTCTCACTGATAGGTGCTGCTGATCTTTGGGAACGCGTTCGTGGTAAACGTCCTAATCGTCAAGCAGGAATGCTGCACACCAGCAGCAAAAAGGCCGCAGCAGCTTCAAGAGACAGGCCACGCCAAGGTTATCCGCTCAACCCTATCTCACCAACACAAATGTCGCTGCTGGTCGCAGGACGGCTGCAAGGTGTGGTCGGTGGAACCAGCAGTGCAGCACGATTATGTAGACGTGCCGTGGTACCGCGTGTCGGATTTGACGGTCAACACGCACCGGGGCTCGCAGCGCCTCATAGGCTGCTCATTCAATTCGACAATGGTGGGTCTCTTCTACATTACCCTGCGTAACGTACGACCCTTCAACGAGGACCCCGATTTCATGGCGCGCGAGCAGCAGGCCGCAAGCGTAGACGGGAACCCGTACTCTGGTGTGGGCGCGTCACGCAGCAACCTGGCGGCTGTTGCAGCAGCCGCGCAGCTTCCTCCGGAGGGCGCTATGCGCAGAGTTAACCTGTCCGACAGCGCAGCGTCAGCGGCGCAGAACGGTGGTGGGAGGCCGTCCAGCGGGGGAATCGGGATGGGCCAGCAGCCAGGCAGCAGCAGCCGGGCACATGATCGGGGCGCCGGGTCTAGCAGCGCCGGACGGTTGCATTCGTCGGGGCAAGCAGCGCCAGCGCAGCCGTTGCTGCCTCCCGTTAGTTTGTATGGGCCCACGGGGTCTTCGGGCTCGGGAAGCAATCGCTATTCGGGCGTGTCAGCAGCAGCGGCCAGCCAGGACTTCGCTGGACCAGGCGACAGCGGTGCATTGGATCAGGGTTTGGCGGCCCGCGCCGCATCCGGCCAGGCGGCAGGCGTGCGGCCACCTATGGTTTCTGTGGGGGTCGGGGTAGGCGACAGCCTCATGCGAGGGCAGTTGGAGTCTGCGCCAGAGCTGGCACGCGTGCAGCAGCAGCAGCAACCCCCGCGGCAACGGCCATACAATGACCGGCAAGCACGGGATTCTCCAGCGGATATACCCCAGTATCCGCGGATGCATCAGCCGCAGCCGCGCATGGAGTCGCCGCCAGATCCCCGTAGCGGTGCGGACCAACGGTACTCGTGGCAGACTGGTGCGGCGCAAGGCGGGCCGGCGGCAGGGCATTCTGGCATGGACCGCCGCGGAGGCGGCGGTTACAATGACAACGGGGCCGGGGGCGCACAGTACGCCAGCGCGGTGCCATCAGACTTGGAAGCCGCGGGGGCGCTGCAGAGCAAGCATGCCATGTTTTCTTCGGCGATGAAAAAGCGCGCCCACGCGCTCTCGCTCGTCAGAAACTTCGTGGCTAAGGCCGACTGGCGAGGCGCCATCAGCTGTGCGCGCCGGTGTGATGAAAACGCTGTCTTTGCGGATTTACTTGCGGCCATGTACGAGCGGCGGGATGCCTTCAACTTGGACTTAGTTGGTGAGGTGAGTTACCTGGTGGACACAAACCTCTAGTGCAACTAACTTAAGGCGTGGGTCAACACGACAGCATCCTCATAGGTCAATGCAGGAAAGGACCTGGACAGCAGTCTTGAGGTGGCACTTCCTTGTTTAACCTATCGTTTTCTTCTTGTTCTCCAAGGCGCCTTCTCGTGGCTGCGGCAAACGCGCAGGTGGTTTCGGTGGTGGAGACCGTGTTGTCCCTGCCTTCGGACCGGCAGGTGCAGGTAGGCCTAGACGTTATCACGCTGCACGTGCGCTTCTTCGGACCCATTATTCGGGAGCTCTGTTCGCCGGCTGCGCGGGGCGTGGGCATTGACTTGAGCTTTGAGGAGCGGCGGGAGCGCGCCAACAAAGCCAAGCTGTCGCTCCAGAACCTTGTCCCCCGACTCAACAAGCTGGGGAAGCAAAGCGAAAGCCTTGGATTTCGTGCGCAGGAACTGGCATCGCAGCTGGCCCAGCTGTAGGGTCGGGATGGGGGAAGGGATTCTGGGGCCTTGCAGGGAGAGGCCCCGGAGCCTTGTGCATGCAGCGACGTGCTTGTCACTTTTGTGGCGCATGGCAGGGCAGTTACTGCATGCAGGGTCCGTAAGGACACATGACATGACATTAAGAGGAGGAAGTGAACCTCGGACGCTAGGCTAGTTTTAGCTGCGCTGGGATCTGGTGTTGGAAACGGACTTCTTTCTTGCTGTCCCCCTTGCATTGATGCTGCAAGTTGCACGCGGGATTTGCTTTGCAATTGCAGGGCAGGGAGTGAGCCATGCCATCACTGGAGGCAGCCATGTGCCTGTATAGCAGCTTTCATCTCTTTCAATTCTTGTAGGGTCAGAGGTAGGATTTTTGTAGCCAAGACAGGCCAAGATGCTCGAGGGTTCCAAGGCATTACGTACATTGTTATGATACGCTTTAAGTGACGCGACGTGACGCGTCGTAACGAAGCAGCCCCGGGTGAAGCGGGTGTTATTTGGGATTTTCACAAAATGGATGTGTGGGGTCTATACAGTTCACGTGCTGAGCTTGAGATGCGCCCTGCAAGCCCGCGGTTTGGAGGACCGTGGCGGAGGACCTGCAACCACGGTCAGCTGCAGTTGCAGCCTCGTCCAGCCTGGAAAGCTGGAAGCATCTTCGTAACCAAACTGCGAACCGATCAAAAATAGCTGCAAGCTGTCCAGTGCTGCTATGGGTCGACTGTCGCCGTGGCAAGCTGCTGGCAACACTGTGGAAAAAGCTGGGGTCGCGCCTTGCCAAATTGGCAACGTCCGCCGAACAGGCAACCCTTGGATGGGAAAACTTCGGCCGCTTAGTCTTGAAGTACCATCATTTTACTTAAAGCTTGACTTCGGAAAAAAATACAGGAAAAGGGCCCTTATCGTGGAATATCATGGAAGAGCCCTACTTTGTGCAACATCCACTGCTTATCCTGTTAATGAAATCATTTCGCTAAACGCCAGTGCTCGGTATTATGCCTTTGCAAAACCTTTGGCTCGGGTGAACTATGAAGCAAAACCGCTTCAAGATGTATGTGCACGCGCCTTTCCCGTGCCAAAAAACGGATGTGAACTGTCGGGATCCACCGTCTCGAAAGCACAAAGATGAATTGTCCTGAAACATACCTGCATCACAAGTAGACACACGCGGCACGTGACTTGTTTTCTTTTGCATGTGAACGCGGACATATGATTTACGGCGGCTGCGCCCCAACATCCATAAAATACAGGGAAAGTGATGCCTGGTATAAAAATTAGACATTTGATTTAAGGACGAAGCGTGACCATTCTAAAGTTAACAAAACAGTCTGCAACCGTACTGGTCGTTGCCCTTGCTTTCTAGTCTTGTCCATATGCATGTCGATCGAATACATTCTCTCTGCCACCATGGAATATAATTCCAACTCTCATTTCAATAATGCAACTGGCAGAGAAAGGCAGAACCCCTATTGATGCTGCGCGAGTCTTACCGGAGCCCTTCCCAACTCAACTTCTACGCGCACGTTCGGTGCCTGTTGCATAGCACTCATCTCATTGGTTTCGACTATGGGTCTCAGTTACGTTGTCGGGTCACGTCGTGCACGCCAAGACGCGCACACCGAATTGACTTGGGGGCCGCAGCAGCGGAAATACTCCAACATTTTTTATTGAGGGAGCCTTTCTCGTCATGCCTGAAGTGGGGCCGGATGCGCTTGTAGCAGCGGTGCTCCATCAGCAGCCGTTGCAAAAACTGCTGCGGGCCGGCGCCGATCCCTCAGTCCGCGACCAGGCAGGCTTAACTCCCCTCCATCATGCAGTCCTGGCTGGAAACGTGGACGCGGTCGAGGCACTTCTGGACTATGCCAGCAAGCGCACGCGTCCGCTCAGGAAGCCAGGCGGCGAGCCTTCGCGGGCACCGGGGTCTCCTTGGGACCTGGCCACCGCTCCCGGCCCGCCTCCCTGCCGCCCGTCGCCCCTGCACCTTGCCGCGGAGCGCAACGACAGCCTACTTCGGCTCATCCTGGGCCACAGCAGTCTTACCAGCGTTGCTGTGTCCTTCCTAGGCATCATCATCTCCAGCCGGCCGCAGCCAGAGCTACTGCACCTGCGCGATGCCCGCGGCTGGTCGCTACTGCACTATGCAGTCTCGCGCGCCAACCTTGCGACCATGCGGCAGTTGCTGCCGCACATGGGCGCCAGTTCCGCGGAGCTCGCCAGCGGCAACAGTAGCCGCAGCAGCAGCGCCGGCGGTGCCGCGCCCCCGGTGACGCCGCACGTCCCCGTCCGAGCCAGCTGCGGCGTCAACGCGCCAGACGCTCTTGGTCGCACCGCGTTGCATCAGGCTGCACATCTGGGTCACGCCGATTGTTGCCGCCTCCTGCTCAAGGCCGGCGCCGATCAGTCGCTCGTGTCGGCGGCACCGGAGGGTGCCCTGCCGCTGCACCTCGCCGCGTCCGGTAATCACACCCCCGTTATCGAAGTCCTCTTTCGCCACGCAGTCCAGCAGGCAGGCTTCCGCGCTGCACAAACGGTGCTACTGCGTGCTAACGTCGCCGGACTCACAGCCCTGCACGTCGCCGTACAACACGGCGCCGTGGACTCGGCTCGTCGGCTGCTGCACCTGGTCTTCCCATTCGACACTCGGGGCCCGCTGGGCCGTACGGCACTCCACCTGGCGGCGCTGCTCGGCGACACCGCCATGATTAGCATGCTACTGGGCCACTCAACGCCGCACCAGCGGCAGATCCGGGACGCCGAGGGCTTCACTGCAATGCACCTCGCCGCTGCCACGGGGCGTTTGGAGGCGATGCGGGTGCTGGTGGCGGGAGGGTGCGGCGTCGACTCTCGTGCGGAGGCGGCGCCACACGCGCCGGTGGGCTGCGAAGGCTGGACGCCGCTGCACTGCGCCGTAAGACGCGGTGACGTGACTGCGATCGAAATGCTGGTCAGTGAGCTGGGTGCCGACCCGCATGCCATGGATGCCTGCGGCCGTACGCCGTACGATCTGGCGGTAGCAGTGGCGGGCGACGACTCGCGGCAGGGCAGCAGCGTGGTGGGCGCCGGCAGCGGCATCCAGAACCTGGATGACACGCAATGGGCCACTGACGCGACGGGCACGGAGTCGGAGGAGGGCGGCGGCGGCCGCCGCAGCGGCGGCAGCCCTGATGGTGGCGGCTCCCGTACGACACGCGATGGCGGCAGCGGCGCGGTTACGGCGATGGTGGTCGATCCGTTGCAGGGCCCCAGCGGCGTCAGCGGGGGATTCCACGGCCTCAATGGCGGCGGCAGCGGCATTATGCGCCTGGACGAGGCACAGGCGCTGGCCGTACTGCAGACCTTCATCCGTCTGCTGCACGACCCCGTACGGCGCAACAATGGCCTTCCGCCAGGCGGCGCCTGTGCGCTAGGAGCCTCCGGCACACCGACGGCACAGCATCAGTCCGCGGCAATCCCACCGCCACGTGCGCTGCCCGCGATCGGCACCTGCGAGTCCGGCGGCGGCGGCGGCAGCGGCGGCGGCGGCACAACCGAATCGGCTCCAAACCGAATGGCAACAATTGGCTGTGAAGAAGAAGAAGAAGAAGAAGCAGTAGCAGCAGCAGCAGCCCCATCTGGAGTTGTGGGACCGCCAAAAGCGCCGGAGCATGCAGGACCGCTGTCTGCTATCAAGCATACGGCTGCGAGCGATTCAGGCATCGGACTGGGAGCTGGTGGGGTGCAGGCTGCCGCTGCGTCGTCTAGTAGTGGCCCTGCAGATAGCGTTGTTGTACCGGAAGGCGTTGCCGCACGGCCGGGACCGTCTGCAGACGGGGCCGGAGAGGTAGTGATAATGCCGAACGCGAAATGCGAAAGAGGAATAGCGAGCGGCGGTGTCGCGGCAGCAGCGAAGGAGAATGGCGTTGGCCTCGGCCACCAAGCCTCGGGTCTGTCGCCGCTGGTCCCTACTTCTTACGGGCAGGAGCCTGGCGGCGTCAACGGCCCCACGGTGCCGTCCGTTGCGCTTGCTTACGCGGCGCACTTGCTCGCGGGACCGGCCGCCACGCGGACCCGTACGTCCCCCTTCAGCAATAATCCTTCCACACACCACCGTCTGTCTCCGTTCCATACGCCAAGTGCCCTCGCAGCCGCAGCGGCAGCAGCTGCAGGTGCCGCCGCCGTTGTCAACGCGGCAAACGCGGCGGGGCAAAGCGGCGTGGTGGCGGCAGTTGCAACTCGGTCTACGGCTACGGTTGGTGATGGCGACGGATGTACGGCAGCGGGCTGTGCTGCCGCAGCGGCGGGTGGTGCCGCTGCCGGCGGCAGAGCTGTGCCGGCGGCAGCAGCGGTTCTTAGGGTAGATGCGGCGGCTGAGGACGCAACCAACACCAGTGATGCCGGGGTTATCACAGATATGAGCGTTGAAGGTCAAGCCTGCCAGACGGCCGCAGGGCTGTCTATTGCGTCCGTCGCCGCTCCCGTCACCGCAACCATCAGGCGGTCCCCTTTCATCGTGACGACGAAGCCGTCGCCCTTCGCAGCTGCGGCAGCCGTGCGGCCCATGCTGCCTCCAGCATCGTGCCAACCGTTGCCGCAGGCCGCCGCCACTGCAGACAGCGATGTGTCCAAGCCCGCGACGGGAGCACACGGTCCCTTTTCTGGCGACGAATTCGCGGCAGCAGCGGCGACGGCGGCGGCTGCGACGGGCGCCGAGGCCACTCCGCCCGCAACTGTGCCGGCAGTGTGCGGCGGCGGCAGCGCCACACCTTTCGTTACCGTCGCCGCGTTGCATCAACACTGCTTGCAGGACAGCTTGCTGCCGGGGCCGCCCAGCGACCCCGCGGCGTCGCTGTGCATCGTTTCCGCCATTAACAGTCCGTGCGGCTTCTCGGCGCTCAACCGTGCCATCTTGCTGCAGCGACATGCGCTGGCGGAGGCGCTGCTGGCGACGCTGCCGCCGCAGGGCCATAACGGCGGAGTGCTAGTGCTGGCGCCTGGCGGAGGCGGCGGGCGAGGTGCGGCGGCTGCTGTGGCGTACCAGCTGAACAGCACGGCGAACATGGGTGTGGTTGGCGCGGTGAGTGGGAGAGCACCCTGCTAGTAGTCCTCAGGTTTTCAATTTGCACGGCATAGTGAAAAATATAGTGAAAAATGGTTTTAGGAGATCCAGATGTTCAATTCCAAATCCAAATTCTAAATAGGTAGGTGCACAAACAGGTTGCTAAGAAAAGGTTGCTAGGAAGGTTAGGAGGTATGGTGGAGAGTGGGGTGCGGGGAACCCTATAGATAACGCAGGATATGGGTCAGGCGGGAGGATGCGCATGACGTTGTAGGTTATGTTTGCCAAACCGCGACCCCATCCCCACGGGCTGCGAAGCTGGTAATGGAATGCGGTAGTGGGAGGTTCGGAGGGGAAGGACGAGGATGACGCACACGCTCACCCAGTGCCCATTGGCCTGTGTCCCGTGCCTGCCGTACTACTCCTGGTACGGACATCAGGCGGTGTCCTCCGCCCAAAGCAAGAACCCGTCGCCGTCGCCGTCACGGCAGATGCCTCCGGCACCAGCCTCATCTTCCTCGGAGGTGATCGACGGCGGCGGTAGCTGCGGCGGAGGCGCCGCCGGCCCGCGGCCGCCGCCGTCGCGCGCCGCCACCGCCCGCACCGGCACCATCCCTTCCGTGACAGCGGCGCCAGCGGTGCCGTTGGGTCCTGCCTCCCACCTCAACCTCACCCACACGCCGCCACGGCATCAGCCCTCACACCGACAGCTGCTGTTGCTGCAGCAGCTCAACGGCGGGCATAGCTCCTCGCCGCCATCGGACAGCGCGTCCGCTGCTGCTGCCGCTGCCACCGACTCCTCCAGTCGTACAGCTCCGCCTCTGCTGCCGCTGCGCTGCCCTGGCGCCGCCGCCGCCGCGCCGGCGGCCACGCCAGTGGGCTCCCCCTTAATCCCTGGGCTCGTCCAATGGGACGAGGCCCATACGGCATTTCGTACACAAACGCCCAACCACACCAATCGGGCATGGCTGTACTGGCCCGGCGAGCCGGACCCCAGCACGGGCTGGTTAGTGGCTGAGCTTGTGGTCGTGGAGGCGGGTGAGAGCGCCTTGGGGGGCCTTGGGCGGGGCTGCGGGCCCTTGGGGGGTAGGCAGCTCTGTCTCTAGAAATTCTGCGCTGTGAAGGCAAAGGGGGCGGCGCTTTCCCGTTTGCCTTTGCGCTTCTTGAGGAAACCGCTGAGACATCTGCGCGTGAGATGTCACCCGTGACGTTATTGCATCGGCCACCATCCACTGCCTTGCCGTATGAACTTTGCCCATCTGTACCAAATGCGCTAGCCTTCCACATTACTCAAGGTGCAATGACGCCGCCTATATCGGACATATCGGGTTGCCTCTTCGCTGCATGGTTTGCAGGCGCTGCCGGGGGGCATGTATGGCTAGGCCTGGGTCCGCGGCCGGAGGTTGTGGCCGCACCCGCCGTCGCAGCCGCCGCCGCCGCCAGCAGCAGCAGTCACAGCAGCGGCAGCGGCTTGGCGGCAGGCCCGTCGGCTACAGTGTCTGGTCTGTCGACGTCGTCGACGGCGGCGCCGGTTCCAGCCGGCGCACCGTCGAGCCGCGCGCCCGCGGGGGTTGCAGGCGCCGCTGGCGCACCGGGGTTAATACCCGTCCCAATGTGCGCGGTGATCAACCACCCGTTCACTCACGTAGCTTGTATTCGCGACGGTCAGGCGTTTCGCGGTGGCGTGCTGGTGGCGGGTCTTGGCACGGCGACCCGGCTGGAGGCGCGCAGCGGAGATACCGTGGCGCTGTTCTGGAACCGCCGCGGCCGCAGCGTGGCGTTCACGCTCAACGGTGGGTGGGGTGCGGTGCGGGTCGAGAGGGAAGCCGCGGGGATTATGAATAAGCGGGAACGGTCCCGGCCGGTCCCTCTCTCGTCCTTCCTCCCGACCCCATCCCGTGTCCTTCTTTACCTCCGGGTTTGTCCTCGTGTATGTATGTGTGACTTGTATTACATTATGTATGTATGTATGTATGTGTATATGTATGTATGTCCTCTTCCCTTCGCGTTAGGTCGCTACTGCGGCCGACTGTCGGACCTGCCAGCCAACGTGCCGCTGACGCCGCTGGTGGGGCTGCAGTGCGGCTCGTTCGTTTTCAAATGGCGCTGCTGCTCTAGGGTGGCCAGCGGCGTCAACGGTGGCGACAGCGGTGGTCCACCGGAGCCGTACACCTGCCGTACTTGCACCTCCAACATCGACGGCATGCTCATCCGGGAGCAAATGCTTCACGAGGACCCGGAGACGCCGTGGCTCTGCAAAGTAAGGGGCACGATAGTGCGGCGCGACATTGGCTTTGCAACCTTTTCTTGCTCATAATCAGATTCTGCTCTTCCGTGCTTCTCCCTTCCTCTCTCTCTCTCTCTTTCCCTCTGCGCCAACGTACCTGCTTATTGCTGCTGGTGCTGCTGCTGGTGCCTCTGTCCCTACTCCCTGCCAGCCACTCCGCGCCGCCTGCTTCCATATTGTCGTGTCACCTGCCACCTGCTGTGAAATCTCCGCCATGCCGCCGCCTCCTCTCCCCCCGTGCCCCACCACCCTGCATCGCTGGGCTCCCCCCGCCGCCGCCCCGTCCCGTCCCCCCTCAGCCCTCCATGACCAGCTTGCACTTCGCAGCGTGGTCCGGCAACGTGCGCGTGCTACAGCAGCTCGTCCGGCTGAAGGGCTTCTCGCCCGATGAAGTGGATGTGGACGGTTGGGCGCCGCTGCATTTCGCGGCGCTGGCGGGTCAGGCGGAAGTGGTGCGGCTGCTGCTGGACCTCACTTGCCTACCCGACAGGAAGAGCAAGTATGGCTCGACACCGGCCATGCTCGCAGGTGGGCTTGGCACTAGATAGACGGAGTTGGGGGCGGAGGACGAGGAGGAGGAGGCGCTGTGCCGGCAGTATCACGTCACAGCACCGTCTCCCCACCGGGATGGGGCCTTCCCCCCGCGGCTTGACCCGTCTCCTGCTGCGGATAGCAACCCCGTTACGTTAAAAATAGGAAACCCCTTCGTCACAGCACAGCCTTGATGGATGGTGTCTTTGTTTGTTGTTTGGCTTCCTGTTGGTGCCGCCTTGCCAGCCAATTTTCGTTTCCCTGCCTCCCCACCGCCGCCATCACCGTTCCCTCCTCCCGCGCTATCCTCGTTGTCCCGCCCTTCCCCCTGTCCCGCGAGCAGCCAAGTATGGACGCAGCCCCGAGCACGTGGCCATCGTGCGGGTTCTATCAGATGTGGGTGCCGTACTGGATGTACGGGATCCTCGAGGCCGTACCTTGCTCATGCTAGCCGCCAGGGCGGGCAACTTGGCGATGGTTCAACTGCTTTTAGAGCGAGGTAAGGGCAGCTAGGTTGCCAAGCTAGGCTCCCTTTTTACATTATCAAAACGGAGTCCTGCTGTTCTTTAGAGTAGTTCGGTCCTCTCCGATATGGAGAGGAGGAAGAGCAGGGACGAGGAGGAGGAGAAGGAGGAGGAGGAGGGGCGGAGGAGGAAGAGCAAGCGGGAGGAGGAGGAGGAGGGCGCCTGCTAGCACGGAGTTGAGGAGCTTTGTCGTTTTATGGACGAAGGGAATTGCGCATTTCCCCACGCACTTTGCAGCCCCATGGATGCACCTTAGGCTCTTTTCTTTTCCTCCGTAACCTGCCTGCTACCTGCCCTCCCGAATCGTGCGGCGCTCACACGTGTTGGGCTGCAGGACTGGATCCCTCCGCAACGGATGCGCTCGACCGCGAGGCTCAGCAGTACGCAGGGCAGCACGCTGCCATCTTTCGCCTACTCCGAAGCGCACAGGCGGCTCAGCGTGCCGGCTCGCGCAAGAGCAAGCAGCGGCAAGAGAACCAGCAGCAGCAGCAGCAGCAACGGCCGGCAGCATCCATAACGTCCGCCATCGTCGCGGCGGCAAAGCTTCAAGAGGAAGCGGACATTGCGCAGGTGCAAGCGCAGAAGGAGGAGGGGAAGGGAAAAGGTGAGGCGGATGAAGCCGGTGACGACACGTGCGAAGATGAGGACAGCGACGGGACAGCCACGGATGCAGAGGGTTGCTTCGGAGGTCGCGGCCGCGACGTGGACATCCAGCACCTACCCCTGTTGGCGGAGCGTTGGCGGATTAGCGCGGAGCAGCTGGCCCGGGGACGGCTCATCGAGCAGGGTGCCTTTGGGGCCGTGTTCGAGGGTACATGGTGCGGCGCGCGCGTGGCGATCAAGCAGGTGATGCGGCGGCGGCGCCCCAGTCCCCGTAGCGGCGGCGGCCGCGGCGACGGCGACGAGGAGGCGGCGGAGGAGGAGGAAAATCCGGAGGCGGTTCGTGAGGCGGCGTCCCTGGAGCGTGAGGTGGCGATCCTGGCGGCGCTGCCGCCCCACGAGCGCATCGCACGAATGCTTGGGAGCGTGCGGCTGCCGGGCGAGGGGATTTGTCTTGTGATGGCCTATTACCCGCACACCTTGCAGGTACGTGTGGAAACTGTCTGTCGCCGCGTGCGCCGTTAATGAAGCAAAATGAAGAATGGGTTCCGGTTTGGGTGAAATTCCAAAAGGGGCAGGAGGGATGAAAAGCGCAGCGCAGGGCGCAAGCAAGGGGATTAGGGCTTAGGGTAACTTATCCCATTTAACAGCCAAACTACGCCAAGCAGCCCACGCCAGCCAGCACTAGCGCGCTGCGGTCCGGATTCGCCCGTTTTTAAGAGTATCTGCTTCTCAGTATGACCTGAGCTTGGGTTTCCCGTTGGGCGCTTGATGCGCGGTTGCCTGCGGGCTGCGTGGATGGCTGCATTCCCATCGGCGTGTGTTGACACCCCCGCGCAGGCCGTCATGCAATCGGAGCGGCTGCGTCGGAGCTGGCTGACCCCGGCGCGGCGCGCGACCATTTCACGGCAGTTGGCGGAGGGCCTGGCGTTCCTGCACGGCCTGCCGGGCCCGCGGGTTATCCACCGGGACCTCAAACCCAACAACGTGTTGCTGGAGGCCGCGCCGTCACTGGGCGTCAAGGCAAGTACTGACGAACTCCGAACTAGGCACGCAAAAGGAACCGGCCAGCTCTCGCCGCCTTTATTACCGCTGCGAGAAGGAATTTTGTGCGATGGCTCCTCCGGGAATTTGATTAACAACCACGAACCAACCCCGCGCTTTTTTGCTACCCCGCAGATCTGCGACTTTGGGCTGAGCCGCATCCTGGCCGGCAACGATGTGCAATCCAGCAGTGCAGCGGGACACGCCTTTTGGATGGCGCCTGAGCTGCTGCGCGCCCAACCGTACGACGAGAAAGCTGACGTGTACTCGTACGGTAAGAGCTACGAGCGAGTTCTTGTCAGCGTTGTTGATGACTTCATAGCGATGTTGCCCCTTCTGACATTTGCAAGCGGCGCCATCGTCGGCAGAAGTTGCAAGGTCCCAAGGACCTGGCAGTAATAACCCCAAGTCAGATTTCCTATCTACTACCCAGGAAGGATGTCCACCCGTGCTCTTGACCATCTCCGGGTCAATTCCTTCCCCGCGGATTATGGCCGCAATGGAAACACATGGCAGCGCATGACGCTATCATGTCCCATGCGCCTGTTGCTCTCTCAGTTGCCGTCGTACAATATGTCTGTTACTATTTCTGGTACTTTCTAGGCCACTACTGCCGCCTCCAACGCAACTGCTGCCACCGCCCGTGTTTCCATGCTTCCCGTACCCATGCGTGTGCCGCACAGGCGTCATCCTGTACCAGTTGGCTTATTGGGTGGACGACCAGCTGTACGGCGGCTTGAATAAGGCCCAGGTTGACTTCCAAGTGGTGCATGGCATCCTGCGGCTGCAAGACAGGCTGCCGTCAGGCATTGACCCCGCCGTGCAGGCACTGGTACGCGACTGTGTAGACGAGGACCCGCGCAACCGGCCATCCATGTCGCAGGTTCTGGAGCGTCTGGCTAGTGTGCGGGAGCTGTCGCAGCCAGGCCATGGCGGCACGGGCTCGGTGCACGGGGGCTCGGCGGCAGCCGTCACGGCGACGGCTGGCGGGCATGGGGACGGCCTAGCGAGGCCAGCTGCAGGGGCCGCCACGGTTGCGGTTGCAGGCGGGGATCCGGAGCATCATCGGCAGGTTTAGGAGCGTCCTGGCTGGCGTGCAATTGTGTATCTCTTCCCCTGTGTATCTAATCCTATGGCGGGTCATTGCCCGCCGCGTGGTTACTGCCCGGAAGCAGCCCGGCAGTTGCGGTGTGGATTCTAATGGGTCGGGGCGGGTTTTGCTTTGCAGCGGGAGTGCTGCTGAAGGGCGTGTGACGTGGGATGCGTGTCGGAGGCTGAGGTATTATGGTGGAGCGCGCAATCCTTTATTCGGACCCAGTTTTCGTACTGAAGGAGCAACTCCAGTTATCGTGGGAAGGTTGGTGTCTATGCGTCAGCGCGTGTGTGTGTGCCGGGGCCAGGTCCTTTGTGCGAAGGCAAAGCCGTTGTGTGAAGTGCTTTCATTATGTGGGCTTTTTATGTCGGTTGCTTGCGAGCCATAGCCATGTTGGTGTGCTCGCCCACCACCACAATTAAGGCAATCACGGATGAGAGGAAATCCCTGCACTGGCGTGGCGGCAACCATGTAGTTATTTGGTACTTGAGGATTGGGGGGGAAACACAAGAGGACTGAGTGAATACACAAGATTGCTGATGGTGCTTCATCTAGCATCTTGATTCTGATCATTCGTGAGCATTTGAGAAGTTGCAGGCGTACTCGCGAATCTGCATTTCCTGTGGCATATGTTGCCCCACTCGGATTCAAGCAGCATGAGGCATAGTGAAGCCTGTACAGAAGCTTAGGGTAGTAGGTAGCGGCAGGCTAGTACAAGGGTGTTGACGTCCGTCCCATGCGGTACGTTTTGTATGTATCCTTGAGCACGATGCAAGGTTGTCCTAACAGAATTGCGATTTCGTTTTCCCTATGGAATGTCGTGAGCGCACAGTGCAAAGATGCGTGAAACGTGATCCTGGATTAACGAGGCCAGAGGGCCGCGAAGTCTCGGACCTCTCTCGGCCTGTCAGCCCTCGTGGGTCGCATTTGAATGACAAGGCATGCAGTATGACTGCAACGAGTCGCATGCATGCCGGCTAATGTCTGTAGTATGGTGTAGGTAAACTACACCAAACCCCGTCCCCAGGTTACAGTCGCGCTGATGGGAGCATGAGAACAACAGTGTTTTACAAATCGTATAATACATAAAAAGTTCAAGCAGTTACACACATCACTGCATGTACCCTTGGCAAAGCTGCCGCAATAGAAGTAATACAAGGGTCGTAAGTACAATTTCTGTGCCACGAGGTCAATCTACGTCCTGTCTGTTGGCAAACTAGATGCTATACATGCACCTTCGCAGGTTCCTGGGTTTGGTACCCTAGCCATTATTTCAGCATTTCCTGCTGTGCACGACGGCACGAGAAACCAGTCGTACGCTAGAGCAGTAGCTGTCCCCAATATATACATCCGCCCCCCCCTCTAAGCCCGTCATCTTGTCTAGAGCTCTGAGCTGTCCAAGGAAGACCGTCAGGCTGGCAGCTCTCGAGGGTTGGTGGCCTGCCGGATGATTTGAAGGATAGCTGCGAACAAAGCAACAGGTGGCATCGTCAGGAAAACGTGCTCACTGAGTCGAGAGCCATCAGCGTCCCGCATGCAAGCTGCGGAGGTCCGACTTCCAGAAAACCCACCTGAACCAATGACAACAAAAATGAAGAATCCCAGCATCACAGGTCCCACAGGCAGCTTGCTCGACTTCTTCTGCATAAGGAAAAGCAGAAGCGGCCGAGATCAGCAACTGCGTGCAGGCAGAACGAACTGGCTATGGCAAGCATACCAACTATTGTGCATACCTGCTTGGTCTCGTCCGCAAGGCCACGCTTATGGACGCCCTGGTGGAACTTGCCACTCTTCGCATTGGCGACGCGCTTGGACACAGTCTGCGAAGATGCAGATAGAGGGTTGCGTTTGTACGTTTGTGGTGCGTTGTCTTTCAGCCTCAAGTCTCTATGGACATAACTAACGGTGGAGTCTTGCTCGCTCTCGAGCTCTAGATAATACGGGTGAAACCTTAGGGAAGTGAAGTTTGCTGAACAAATTACAGCAGGTAAAACTTGCAGCAAGTTCAAATTGGGAATGAGGAAATACGCACCATTCTCGCCTATTGAAGTCCAATGTGGTGCGTTGGAAGAAGTCACAGCAAACCCGGACCTAAGGCTTTCGTCGTTAGTATTAAATGTTATTGTTGTGATAAGTAAGTTGCACAGTTGCCCTCAAAAACATGGCAAGCAATGTAGCAATTTTTGAACTAACCTGTGGGACGTGTCCCTTACAGTACGACGTTTACGACTCCTAGCTGTTGCAAATCTGCCTGCGGAAGGACCCAGAGTAGGTTACGCCTTGATCACACGCATTCCATACTTGTATGCAAACCTGCGAGTCAGGCTGCAGCGTGCTATGGACTTCATGCAACGGGCAGGAGACCACAGTTGCAGTGGTGGGTTCCTTCTGCTATCGAAGATGTATAAATCATTTGTATCATTAACTCCCTACCTTCTTTTTAGAGTTTTATAGTTTTTTGATAGGTCTCTGGCGTTGAAGGCAATGGGACGAAGAAGTGTGTCCGCCATAAGACGTGTTCAGGGATTTTCACTGAGGATTGAAAAAAATGGTCATGCATGGGGAAACTGAGAAAGTCCAAAGAAATGGAGTTAAGGCCAAAGTACCTGTCTACCCCGCGAACATCCCCAGAACGTCGTTGTGAAATCACCTGACGTCATTGTTGCTGTTGCATTCTCCCGGTCAGATGGAAAGAAGACCATACGTAAAGGAAGCTACTAGGCAAAGAAAATGTTTTCGGCACTCAACAGTACGCAGCTTCCAAATGCAACACAATTTGCACCACATATCCCCCTTACACCTGCCCTGCCGACCCCGGCGTACAGGATGCAAGGGTGTGCAACTGTGCACCCACATCAAATGCACTACAGAGCTGAAAACCTGCAAGACCATCCTCCATACCTTGTGTTCCAGCGCGCCGCCGTTTCTGTCCCTTTGTATGCACGCCTGTTACTTGCTTACGGAGAGGGGAAGTACTAGGTTTGCATATTCGGGGGTGGCGCATGATCTACAGGTTTGGCTGCGCCTGAAGCGGGCGGGCTCAGCCCAACTGTCTTAATTTGAACTCCACTCCGCCAGTCCACAGGCTTCTGGTGACCGCAAAGCCCTGTGCAAAGGCTCTCGTGCTTCCCCTGGGTGCAACGCATTCGCACTTGGGCTTGTGAAACCTTATGTGGTGTGCGACATGCAGATTGACTATGTTTTAATGTGGCTCGCTGGATCAGACCGAACGGTGCTTGCTGCCTACTTGCTGCGGTAGCCTTGTTCGTATAACTTACCGTACATACACGGGAATATCTACGTGCGAAAAGAAACACTTCCAGCATGGGGATATTCCCAGTGCCCATTCACGACAACGGGTCCTGCATCTTCAGCGATGCCGCTCTGTTGTACGACGGTGCTCCACAGTGCCGTACCATGCTACCGACGCCTTTGATCCTTTGTCCGGTTGCTGCAAACCCAGGAAAGGTGTTCCCAAATATCATAAACAGTTTTATGCTTCAGGTACAACTGACCTAAGAAATCATCCTGAATGCGGAGACGGTGGGTTTCTACAGACGGTGGCTTGGGTACAGGCACGACACTGCGGAGTTCAACCTTGCAGCTAGCATTACAGGTAAATGAATGTTAAATAGATGATGACTGGTTAAGTGCCGCCCCTGAACGTGGTCGTCAGAGGACACACGGCTCCAGTTCCGTTTCGCCGAGAACTCGAACGCGTATGTGCACGCATAATCGCTTGAGACAAGTCGCACGCTGTTGCTAGACAGATACAGATACAACTCACACGATTAAAATTCTAACCCCATATGCAACCTTCGCAGCACCAGGGATCTCAAAAGCCCCCTTCCAGCACGGAAAGGGTCACCACTTCAATTATTCAACCGCCTATCGAACGCAACTTTTCTAGCCCGCTCCCGACATTTAACCTCCGATTCATTCCAAATTATCAACAATAAATAGGAAGGAAAAAGAGAAGATCACAAACGCTGTGAAGATGTGAAGACAGGGATCAGAATACGCGAACGTCATGAGAACTCCGTCAGGACGACGAAGGCGGGCCTTTAATTTAAACGTGGGATACATTAGGGGGAAAGCAAAACAGCGTCGAGCCTGGAGATCACTCCAGGCGCCTGCCGATAGGCAGGATATTCATAGCTCGCTCGGGACTCGATTCGGTTCCAGGAGCTCCAAACGCGGCCCAGGTCGTTTCGCGCACCAAGATAAAGGATTCTTTCAAGCGAGGCATCGGAAGGGGAAGGTGATGCAGGCACAACGCGTGAACGTGCAAGGATAGACAAACGCGCCCATCACCTCCATAGACAGCTGGAGTCTCCAAGAGAACGCGGGGATATGCTGAAAAACGTCTTCTTCACAGAGAGAGCCCACACAACAAAAAATCACGAAGTCACACATGCCAATTCGCTCGTCCGGTCCGCTGCTGCTGTACTATAGCTGGCCAAGCCAACACCACGAATGAGAACTTCTCCGCTGCGTCCTTCGTTTGACATTCTCTCAACGGCCCATACAATAGAATCAATGAAGGGCTCTAAAAACTCCTGTACAAATCGCCATTTCCATTTTTTTCGTTTTTCCTAAACCTCTATGCACTGGAAAAGTTTTCCCAACAATTTTATCGACCGGCAGCTGGTTGCTGCATGTAATCACTGACTGCACCAGCTACCGAACCGGCCCGCATGTGCATTGCAGACATTGCGCCGGACGGTCCCGGAGGCATAGAGCCTCCCGGCCCGGGCTGTGGAGGTAACGGAGCCCCAGGCATTGGAGGAGGGCCATAATCCGGCCATGGCGGCGGTGGCACCGCACTTGCACCCGGATACGACATAGATGGTGGTGGCGGCATGCCGTACATTGGAACTCCTGAGCTTGGCGGCGGCCGATACCCCGGCGGCATGCTCGGAGGCGGCATGCCGTACATGCGCATGCCGTACGTGCTCATCGAGGGCGGATAGTAATACCCAGGTGGGTAGTCGTACGGCGACGGTGGCACGGCTCCGCTGAAGTAGCCAGGAGGCATCGCCATCGACGGCGGTCCGCAGGTGCTGGACGAGACCCCGGCCGACGGACCTAAAGAACGTGTCGTACTGCTGCGCTGCGGAGGCCCGTGCACCTCCTCCCCGTCGTCCTCCACCTCCGCCGCCATACTGCCCTGCTGACCAACCCGGTACGATCCCACGCCCACGTGCGCGCCGCCCTTCTGCAGCTGCAGCTGCTGCTGCTGCTGGGCGCCTTGCTGTTGCTGCTGCTGCGACGCTGCCGCAGGGGCGCTGCGCATGGGCGCCGTTTGGGCGACCGACACGCTGTGTGTCGCAGATGCCGATGACTTGCCGGACATAGCAGGTCTGGGCCCCAACGGAGCCGAGGCGGCTGGCGTCGCTGCGGCTGGCGGCGGCTTCCCAGCGGCGGTAACGCCAGCTGCCGGAGGGTGTCCTCCTCCTCCGCCGCCGCCGCCACCACCGCCAGCTGCCGGTGGCGGGAAGAGCTGTCGCATAGCACTTGGTCCCTGAGTACCTGCGCCGACGGCTCCCGGCTCCGAAGTCATCATCTGCATAGGCGCCGCCGATGATGGGTCGCTAGAGAACCCCTCAGCGCTGCGGCGTACGGCAGCGGCAGCGCCGCGTGTCGTACTTAGAGGCGCCGAATGAGCAGCAGCCGTGGTCGCAGCTGGTGCCGACGGTGCCGGCCGTGCGCGTACGGGCGACACGGCGCCCCCAGCCGACGGGCCTGCCAACGCGCCGCGCTTGTGCGGTAGTGGTGCGGAGCTGCCGCCGACGCCGCCGCTGCCAGCAGCCGCTGGCGCCAACACGGACGGATATGCCGTACCGTGGGAGTACACGTCCAATGGCGGACCGCTGTGCTGCGGGTGATGTGCGTACGGCGGGTACAGCTGGGTGAGCGCCGCCGCCGCCGGGGCCGTCGGAGCTGTCATGCTAGTCGTCGTGTCGCCAGCGGTCCAGGAGCTCTACGAGGGTTTCACCGCGTTGGCGACACGACGGGAGGGGCAATAGATTATGATTTGGGGGGGGGCCCAAAAGGACAAACGAGGGGTCCTATAAAACCCCCTCAAGAAAGAGCTAGGAAACGAACGAGACGCGGTTTAAGACAGGCACGGAAAGCCTGCTTCAGCTGTTTACACAACACAACATAACCGACCGATCGGTCCGCGCCGGAGCTCAAAGAAATGCGAATCAGGATCGGGTGGGGGGATTACGGGATACAAAATGTGGTGTAGGTGTCCCCGGGGGCTGACTCTCAATCCTCGACCGGCTTTGCGTGCACAGCCCAGTTTGGTTGGGGTCCATTCTTCTTCGGAGTCAAGCCCTAAATGCGCTAATGGCGCTTCGCATTATGGCCCCCGGAGAAATACATCCCTTCGCGGCGAGAACGGCCCGATGAGGCCCTCCCAAGAGCACACCCCCAGCTACATCTAGCGCTGCATCGTCTCCCCAGGCTGTACGACATTAAGGACAAAACCATCAAGGCAAAACCTAAAGGCCAGGAAGCCGGTATGCCGGTACATAGCAGGATCGATAAGCCTTCTGCCGCCAGAGCCAACCGGCCCCACCTACCGAAGGCTGCAAGCGGGGGGCCCCGCCGCCTGCTGCAGCGGCCGCCGCTGCGGCGGCGGCGGCAGCTGCCTGCATCTGCTTCGTCCTGGCCAGGTCCATCCGGCGCTGCAGGAACTCTTGAGTGACCACTCTCAGCTCCTGACGGATACCGTCCACAGTGGAGCGCGGCAGCGGCAGCGCCATATCGTCCGAGGCGAACTGATCATGGCAAGCGCGAGCAGCCTGTGTGGTGTCGTGTCGTGTGCGGACGAGCAGCAGCACGAGGTGCGGGAAGCAAAGGGGGGTGTTTTTTAACCAAAGCGGGCTGGCAATCAAGAGACAAGCACAGACAGCGAAAGCCAGGATTACACAAACCCAAACGACAGACAGACCGACAGATGGACTCGTAGAGACGCAGACGGATGCCCCCGTCCAACCAAAGCCATTTGAACCGAACGGAACGAACGAAAAGGAACCCATACGGGAAATCAGGCTCTATGATCCCGCCCCCATCAACACCCGGGGTGAGGGAAGGGTAGGGTTCTCGGGGGATCCGCACGCGCGCCCCGTGTGTGAATATCCGACTTCCAACCTTGGTAAACCCCAACCACCCACTCACCATGGAGCTCTCCATGTCGAAACCGACGCTGCTGCCTGGGACCCCTTGCGGCCCCGCAGATGGCGGCCGACCGCGACCTTGCTGCGTCGCCATCTGCTGGTTACGCGCCGCGGCGCCGCCGGCAGAGGTCTGGTCTGCGGGACCCCCTGGAGCGTCAATCACCGACACGGCGCCGCCGCAACTCGCTGCACCGGGACGGGCGGCCGCCGCCGCTGACCCCTCAACCATTGGGGCTGACGATGACTGTCCAGGATGCTGCCTTACCGCCGAGCCTACTGCCCGGGTGCTGCCGGTGCCGCCGCCGCTGCAAGCGGAGGCAATGGCGCCCGGCGTAGGCCCAGTGGGGGCGGAAGAGGCCCCCGAGTAGCCGCAAATGGGTGTCATAGAGTCCGGACCCCCAGGCAGCCCTGCCGCCGCCATCGTCGGGTCCGACGCCGACCCCCCACCGTCACGACGACCGTGGGGCCCGCTCACGAAGCGGCGATAGAGCCTTTGCCTGGGTGCCATGTAGCTTGGATAGTGCGATCCAACCGCCGCCGCGCCGTAGCCCCCAGCGGCCAGGGCGTCCGGGCAGCTGGGCGGCGCCGGCGGCAGCGGCGGGGCGTCCATCATAGGGTGGTAGCCATAACTTGAATGATAGTACGGGTCGCCGTACAGCATGCCGTACGGCATGGAGTACGGCGGTGGAATGCCGTACGGGTATGGGTACCCTGAGCTCTGGCCGTACATGGCGGCGGCGCTGTCGACGCCGCTGACACTCATGGGATCGCCGGCGCTTTGGCTGCGGTTGCTGGGGCTACCGTGCCGTGCTGCCGCAGCTGGCGGCGGTGGCGGCGGGCCAGCGGTGTGCGAGGGAGAAAGCACTGGCGTTGGTGTTGCCGAGGGAGCGTTGGCGCCCCCCAGCTGCTGCTGCTGCTGCCCGTCGGCCGCCTGGTGGTGGCGCAGTCGCTTGCCTCTGGAGTCCGATGGACTGCTCTGCACTAGCCCCGGCGGGCACACGGTGCCTGCGCTGCTGGCGGCGTTGGCCGCAGACGGCGACGGAGTAGGCGCCACGTCCATAGCGCCGCAGGTGCTAGGTCCTGCCTCGGCCTCTGCCACGGCGCCGTTGCCGCCGGCGAAGGCCGCAAAGCCCTGCACCCGATTGGGCGGTGACATGTCCGTGTGCATGGGCGAGGGCGCACCGCCCGTGCAGCCCCCGGAGGCCGCGGGTACGAGGCCGCTGGGCTTTAGGTAACGGGATGAGTGAGATCCAGGCACGGGAGCTGAATGCGCCGGGGCCAGAAGGCCGGGTTGCTCGTCCAGTGGCGCCATCGAGCGGGACAGGCCGTACATGCTGACGCGCGTAGTGGCCGAGCGAGGCCGCTGGCCGGAGATCTGCTGCTGGTGCTGCAGCAGTTGCTGCTGCTGCTGCTGTTGCTGCAGCATTTCCTGCTGGTGCTGCAGCAGTTGCTGCTGCTGCTGCTGCTGCTGCTGCTGTTGCTGCTGCAATAAATTTGCATGCTGCTGCTGCTGCTGCTGTTGTTGCTGCTGCATTTGTTGCTGTTCTTCCTGCAGCTGCAGCTGTTGTTGTTGTACCTGTTGTTGTTGGACCTGCCGCTGCTGCGACAGCTCCTGGGCCTCATAGTCTACCCGGCTGTTGCTCTGGCCGCCTCTGGCCCACTGCTGCACGCCGGCCTCGAGCCCAGTACCTTGGGCGGGACTCTGCTGCTGCTGCTGCCGGTGCTGAGCGAAATGCGCGGCGGCAGGGCTGTCTGAGGAGGGTTGTACACAGGCGCCGCCAGCAGTAGCGGCGATAGCTGTACGGCAGGGTGAAGTAGCAGCCAACTCTCCCGATTGGCATGGCGGGTGCAGCGACCGGTAGTGCGCTGGCTGTGGCGCGCTGAAGGGCAGTGCCTCCCCGTAAGCATTCAGCAACGGCGGCTGAATGTTTGGTTCGCTACTACCCTGTTTCGGATTCGGGTTCGAATCCCGCGTCTCGTAGATCGTCAGATGCCGCGTCCTGCTGGGCTGCTGGGCGGCGCTGTCTGCTTCCGCGTCGATAGGCTCCGTCACGCCTGGCGTCGGACGCTGGCTGTAGTCGGAGAAAGTCGGCTGCAGCGCTGTTTCCACAAAGGTTTCTGTGACCAGGAAAGACGACGGCCCCAGGAGGGGAGGGCTGCTTGCACCGCCAGGATCAGAGCCTAGGAGCTGGTCTAGGAGATCGTGATCGGGTCCAGAGAGGCTCAGGCTGTGAACGGAGACAAGTTCCCCACCAGCGTGTAGCTCGCGCGTGTGGCAGGTAGAGGGGGGGCTTTTGCAGACACCGTACTCGGCTTGCATGGGCTCGAAGGAGCCGGGCAGGCTAGGCAGCGCGCCAGTGGCATCGGGATCGGGCGTGTGAAGGCAGGTAGCTGATTGCGCGGGCCAGGATCGCTCTGATAGCCCGGATTGCTGTTCTTGTTGCTGTTGCTGTTGTTGCTGCTGCGGTTGTTGGTGATGGTGGTGGTGTTCGTAGGAAAAGAGGTGTTGATTTTGTTGTTGCTCAAATGGTTTTGATTCCTGCGGAGGCGGCGGAGGAGGAATGGCCGGCGTCGAGTCCGCTGGGAAGTGCTGCCGGAAGCGTATGTCGCACTCAGTCGACAGAGGCTCCTGATCCAGTAGGACAGTGTGCCCGCTGACAAAATGTAGAGATTGGGAATCCGAACAGCCTATTAGGGAAGAATGACGACCATCATGGGAATCAGCGTTGCGACCAGCGGTTGACAATGCGACGACTCGCGCCTCCCTGTGCGCTGCGGAAGGCGAGCTGGATAACGCGGGATGGAATTCAGAGTTATAGTCCTTTCTTGTCTCCAGGCTTGCACTGGCAATGGAACTCAGTCCGGGCGCTGCCCCGTCGGTCGCCTTGTACTGTAGCGACATCGCGGGGCCTCCAGAGTCTCGTAATAACCTCTCATCCAGCTCAGGTGAAGGTTCGGGTTGAACATACAAGTTGAGCGGCTCTTGAAGAGGCTTCTTGGCGAGGCAATCCTCAGCTGCGATTACAAGAGGAGCAGGAACGTGAAAAGGAGGAGTTCTCTACGAATGGTTGTAGCAAACTTGTATCCTTAAGCATTCGTCAACACCTTACGGGTCACCACGGCCGCGTTGTAAGCTATAAAAGGACACTCCAATCAGCTGCTACAAGCCAACAGTACGCAAACTGCTCTGGTAAAGACCCGACACAGAAACCCGCAGGGCGTGTAAGCTTGAGTTTGTACTGTCACCCGAATGCACTCACATGGTATCCAGACGACCCCGGACATTGACGACGTCCCCGAGGGTTGCCCCTAAGCTTCGGGTCTGAGCTCCTGTTGATCCTGTAGAGCTTATCCACTTATTGATTTACAGCTGCTCGCAACTCAAGCTTGGAAAGGCCATTGTTCTCAGACAGTGCTGCAGCCTTTCGTAGAAATTACTGATCTAGCATCAATAAGGTATTGTTCTTGCTAAAACTCAGCCTGCTTTCATTGATCAAGTTACACCATACGTAATCAAGAACGATTTCCCGAATGGTACCGGGTTTGCAGTACGACTTATGCTGCTGGTAACCTCAGCAACAAAGCGGCGAGGAGATCCCCAAATTAGATGCAAATGTATGCAATATGTTCCGTCAGCACTGCAACTTTCTTGGCTTGCATCTCTGCCAGTTACGGCAAGCGACTCGACCGACCGTAGATAACGGAACGGCAACCCTTCTCAGTTTCCATAGATTACACAACAACAACATGTTTTTAGGATTACCCATATGCAGGGCTGTGCTTGTTATGAAGTTGTAACCATTGGACAAAGGCCATTTAACTTCTCAGCACAAATCACTCGCTTCCTGTACTCAAGAATCACAAATCGCCATAGGAATAGATCCAAGGTATGCTGTCCAGAGGCTTTGTCTTTGTTGTCTTGTGTCAAGCACGGAAGGGATCAAGTGTGTACGTCTATTCAGGACACTTGGCGTACAAGGACACCGAAACGTTTAGCTAGTCAGTCAGTCGCTATTGGCTAACTTTATGTACCTCATTCAACTTTTTTCATTTTACTTTGCGCCGTATACGGACGATTTGCTTTGCTGGATCATGCATTGGCTGGGTATCGATGTGTCCTGCTACCAACAGGGCATTTAATTCGTAAGAGGCCTTCATCCCGCCAGTTCCCTCACGTCCACATGAGGACCGGGAAAATAGTACGTTTGCCGGCAGCAGACGGCTCAGCATTATTTAGTCATGTCTGCAGTAGCAGTTTGCAGCCGGCGGCCGGTCCAAAAGGATCCATAACGGCCGAGGCGAGGGCTGACAGCAGAGATAAAGTTACTCAAGTTGGCCAGCCGGTAGATATGCGGGGCCCTGGGGGACAACATAGCATTACATGAGAAGCGTCTAAGCCCAAAGTCCAGCCGAGAAAACACGGTGAGGAGACGACTCCATTAATAGCGCGACTCAGTAAGAGCGTCTGGCACTCAGTACGGCCTACAGGCTACGAGCTGCAAGAAAATCTTGGAACAATAAATGATACGAATGAACATCCCTTGCAAAGCGGTTGAATCGCGGATTCCCTTTGTCTGCTGTCATACAATTTAGTCAAGTATGGCCCGATTAAAAATCTGCCTGAAACTAATTGCACGGCGAGCTTATAAAGCCTCCATTACGTGTAGCAAAAAAAACAAACATGCGCGCATTGAGGACATTAAAGGCTTCGCCATACATTAGGTCCGAGGCTAAATACAGCCTGATGGAGACATGATGCAGGTTAGTCTGCCGGACAGACAAGCGCAGGATTGGAACTGTTACTGGCCATAAACTAAATGCAACGCATGCGAGCAATGCAGCGAGCATGCGAGCAAGGAGATGTCAGGAACACTATTGGTGCGAACTGGGGTACGAAATATCGCGAGGGCATTTTACAAGCAAGCAGCTAGCACAGAGAAAGATGTCACTGTATGCGGTGTGTCAAAATCCGAAGTATGGGTGACGATAGCGGTAGAATTGGGGCGCAGCGCCGTGCAACTGCGGCGTACTTACGTGCCGACAATTGCAGATTTTGACCGACATCCTATCATTTATTTAAGTATCTACCTTTACACGTGGATGCTTTTCGGGACAACCATGTTCCCGCAGGCTACTACTGTCTGTCGGCATGTGGCGGAGTCTGTCGGAGAGTTGGGTGCCTTCCTCGAGGGACTTGAAGGCACCAAATGGCTTGGTCCGATCGATTACGAGGGCACTAGCAAGGTTGATTGCAACGATAGTGTTTGGGCCGTGAGTAGCAAAGGGTAAGGTAGCAAGGGGCTGGCAGGTTTTATGCAGAGTGGTTTGCGGTGGTTGCGAATTGGACACGGACTACAAAAGTGCTCCCATAACACTAATGTTTGCTTCATTGATGTTATTTGGTTGTTTCTACATAACTTGGCTGCGACAAAGTTTATTCTTCCGGGGCCCTGTACGTCATTCCTAAGTTGTAACCAAAGCAGAGTTAATGCACCCGCAAGGAAAGTTTGTTGAGCTTTGCTCGTGTAGTAATCGTTGTTAGCATAGTAGTGTTTTAGCGGAGACGCTACATGGTCTGCCGGAAAATGGCTTTCCAAGTGAGCGCAGTCCTCCTACTCACAATACTTTCCCTTGCTGTTGCTTCCGAAGCTGCTTCAACATCACATGTTATCACTGGATCTGGGCATACCGTGGGATTTGGCGAACTGAAGGTGCGAGAGTCCTGACATGGTGACTTCCTAAGCCTTTTCAACTTTGCTTGAATGCTGTCATCATGTTTCTGGACATGACAGGAGGAATGGCGTGGTGAAGTAATTCACCTTTCGTGGTCTCCACGGGCATTCTTGCTCAAGGGGTTCCTTTCAGACGAGGAGTGCGAGCACATCATTGCGAAGGTACGTCGTTGTCAATAAAAAGCATTAGAGCCTTCAGCTCGCGTTTGCACTCTGGGCTGGAATGGGTCCTTTGCGCGAAGCTTCAGTCCAGCTGTGCAACGTCGTGAATGACCTTGATGCAACAGGCAAAGCCGCGAATGGTAAAGTCATCTGTCGTCGACAACGCGTCGGGAAAGAGCGTTGACAGTGAGATCCGCACCAGCACAGGAGCATGGCTCGCAAAGGGCGAGGACGAAATCATTTCTCGAATTGAGAAGCGTGTCGCTCAAGTGACGATGATTCCTCTCGAGAATCACGAGGGTCTTCAGGTGCTGCACTACCACGACGGCCAGAAGTATGAGCCGCACTACGACTACTTTCACGACCCCGTGAACGCGTCCCCGGAGCATGGTGGCCAGCGCGTCGTGACGGTCCTCATGTACCTGTGAGTTGTGCTGACTTGGACCCCGAGCTTGGGAAACCCCGCAAGCATATCAAGTTTATTGTCCCCGGAACTGTCTTCTGTTCGCTAAAATACCCTTAGGGTGGGTGGGATTGGGCCTATCAAAAGAAGCCGTACCCGGCGGGATTTGTAGGGTAGGTCGAGTTAAGTCAGCAAGGTATGTTAGGAGCCATACTCCTTGTGGAGCACAAGGCGTGAGCTCCAGGTGGCCGTGTTCGATTAAAGGCAATCCAGCCTAGCCAGTGAGTCAGTCGGCAGCATTCGATGATAACTATGGCCATGGCCCACGGAAATGGTCCGCAGGACTACTGTGGAGGAGGGCGGCGAGACTGTGCTGCCGCATGCTGATCAGAAGGTCAGCGGCGAGGGCTGGTCAGAATGCGCCAAGCGCGGCCTTGCTGTAAAGCCTGTCAAGGGCGATGCGCTCATGTTTTACTCCCTCAAGCCGGATGGCAGCAACGATCCTGCAAGCCTCCATGGAAGCTGCCCAACTCTCAAGGGCGACAAGTGGAGCGCAACAAAGTGGATTCACGTTGGCCCCATTGGGTAAGGTGATTGCTGTATATCCGATGCAGCAGGCCGAGCATTGTGCTCGATTTGCTGCAACAGGCGAAACATTTGGCAGCTCGACTGGAGGCAGCTCGGCCTTGATATGTTATGCGCTGCTTTTGGACACTTGCCTTCACATTTGTTGTGAACCAGCCCATACCTATGTTACCGTGCTTGCGTGCTTGCCTAACACTCTTGGTTTTGCGCAGAGGGCGCTGACCAACACGCCACGCGCTACACAGAATGCCGGTTTAAGATATGGTAACGGCCAATCTCGGCTCCATCCTTGATGGTCATATGCGCAGTGGCAAGAAGGCGGTCAGCCTGGGAACGCCAGAGTGTCACGACAGCATGGAGCAGTGCACGGAGTGGGCGTTCTTTGGCGAGTGCGAGAAAAACCCTGGCTATATGAGGGAGAACTGCGCACGTTCATGCAAGACCTGCAAATAGACCCATGGGACCGGGTGAAGTAAGGACGTATACTTTTTGGTGCGCGGTGGTCATTATAGCTGCTCTTCGAGAGAATGTGGCGCTGTGGAAATTGCAGTGTATGTAAAATTTTTATAGATTCTCCGTAAACACTGCACCGTGACAGTTTGTGGTTTGCGTTTACCAACCCAGTCGTAGCTGCAGATTTTGAGGTTGCCCCGCGCGTCATTAGCTGTGCTGTGATTTGAGCTTCTGTTCCTGGCGCAAATGTGCGCTAACGTGCACTGTTCAACAAAAGCATCTGTTGTGATCGGTGTTAAGCGGGTTCATCTTTGGCTGCTGGGTTCGGTTTGAAAAGGATGCGTCCTGACTGCGCGCGCCAAATGTGGGGAGGACGCAACGCCAAACAAAACATTACAACTGCTGATGCTGTGTCACATCTCATCGTACACTTCTCACGGCGTCTTCTCCCAGAATGGTATTCCGCTGTTAGAGTTTGTCCCTCATGTCCCTCGCGGGCGGGACCAACGAATTATCCACATAGCGCGTCAGGAAGCGCGCGAGAGCACCCCAGTACTGTTCCGGTTCCGCATCATAGGCGTCCATATGCGACGCCTCTTTGAATTGCTCCAGCTCACAGTTGGGCGAGGTCTGTGCCGCGTACAGCTTGAACATCTGACTGGCCGGCACCATCTCGTCCTGCAGTGGGGAAGCAAAAGTGGGGCATGTGAGCATGCTTGCCATAAGAATGCCTTCTTTGAATCGGGCTCGCGGTAAAACCAAACACACGTTTATTCGTCCTTGCCTTGCTGGAGCGTCTAACCCTAACCCTCGTGTAATACTGGCCAGCAAGAACGGGAACGCGCTCCTCACTTGTTGCACGATAGCGACTTCCCCCCCCCATATAACACACACACACCTCGTTGGGCTGCTGAAACCTCTACTGGAGCGACCGTTGCAACCATCTAACTCTGTGGCATGCAGCAGAGGATACACCCTCCTGCTGCCCCCCCGAATAACCGCTGTAGAAGTGGAAGGTGACTGCGCTCGGCACTACACGGCCCCTTGTTGCAAAAGAGCCACACACATACACACACACAGGGGCAATGGCAATAGCGTATTGGGAAGAGACGCCGCGTACCCGCAGCGACACCATCATGAGCATGGGAATCTTGATGCGCGATATGATCTCGATGTTGGACCACTTGTTGGTAACGAGGAAGTTGCAGGGCCGGCCTGTGCCGATTAGCAGCGACAACGGCGGCACCACACGGGACACCATGTCCTGGACACCAGTGAACGTGTTCTCAACCACCAGGCCCCGGACCTGCGCCACAACATTGCAACAACATTGCCACAATTCGCGTTACAACCACACCGCCGTCGTAAGGAGCCAGGCCTTGAAGCTGCCTGGCATGCCGGATGGGAGAAAAACTGCCCAACGTACTGAATTGACGCTCAATGGCAGGAACCAACATCGAATCCTCGGTGCTTAAGGTTGGTTGGTGCAAAGGGACAGGCAGTAAGGAAGCGCCTGACGGCAGTAAGGCTCCGCGCAGGGAACCAGCAACGCCCTTCTCACCGCCGCTTGTTGCTCCGCAGCCGCAGCCAGGTGAACCGCGACGGCTCCCCCCAACGACCGCCCGAACAGCACGACCTTGTCCGTAGCCAGGTCGTCGCGGGACAGCACGTAGCGCAGCCCTGCAAGCGCGTCCTTTTGGAGACCGCGCTGGTTGGGACGGCCCTCGCTCAGGCCGTAGCCGCGGTAGCTGTGCTGCCGAAAGGCGCAAACCGGGGCAATGGAGGGTGGCAGCGGCGGAGATTTCATTCCTGAAGTAAGTCCAGGGCTCCGTGCGAAAGTTGCTTATGAATATACATGCGGCATATGATCGTGGCACACTGTGGCCCCTCACTCCCAAATCCAGGGCCTCTGTGGAGGAGACGAGGTGCGCCCAAGCTCGTTTGAGGTGGTCGTGCCAGCCCCTTGGTGTGCAAGACCCTCTCCCTCCGCACCCTAGAGGTGGCTGTTGTTCCCAAGTGGAGCCCCCCTCTTACACACATACGCGCACCTCATGGCGAATATGACGGCATTCAAACGGTACACCAGGAGCCTCAGGAACGGCAACCGGAAAGACATGTTGCCCGCATTCTCCTGAGGAGGGAAGGAAAGGCGTCTGGTAATATAAAAGTCCATGCCATGCAGCTGGACTGCCAGCCGGACTGCATTCCTCAGCGGGATCGAGGAATCGGAGCATGTGGCGGATGAGCTTTAGGTTAGGACTCTACCCTACACGTACGCTGGCCCGACATAACGCACGTGCTCCTCTTATCCTGCCAGCAGCAACAAACTGGCAGCAGTAACAAAGGAAAGGCCAAATTGAGTGCGCGCTAGGTTGAGCGGGGTCCTGCACCTGGAAGAAGATGATTACGGGCCTTGACTTCAGCATTTCCTTGGTCCAGCCGGGGCGCCAAAGCAGCCATGCGTGCAACTTCACGCCATCGTCCGCGGTCAGAGACACATCCTGACGCCGCCAGGGAGCACATAGCGGCGTTAGGAAGTATGACATGATGTGCATGAGGATGTGCCCAGGCACGGACAGTACGACAGGTGCATGTGCAGCCGGACGCCGAATTTTTTCCGTGTGGCTCAGGAGCAACCGCCCTCCCAAAGAGGGGGAATTGTCCATCCCCAAATGCACGCGCGCACCTCATACTCCAGTTGAAACTCATCTGGGTATTTCCAGATGCCACTGGGCAGCCCCGGCACACGGGGAACATAGAGCTGTCGGACACAGTCGGAGGGTAGCCAGTCATATCAGCACTGCCGTGTGTGGTCTCAGGGGCATTAGCACATGTGCATGAACGCACATCAGCAGGAAAGGTTTCCTGGAACACTCACGATATTTTCTTGAAAGAAGTAAAGCAGGGCGAGCGCTAAACCCGCAACACCGCCAACCTGTGAGCAACCAGTGAGGTTCCATATTTACATAAGTGAGCTATATGGGGGTGATCATACCGCAAGCCTTGCTATTCTGCCTACTGATTAGAACTGTCCTCACCCCGCAACATATGCGAAACAACCACTTCCCCAAAAAGCTCATGTTACATTCTCATTTACATTCGGATATTAAACATGCCAGTGCCATCTGGCTATTATCGAATGACTGAGAACTGGTACGGCAACAGCTGCAGAGTCTCTGTCTTTTCAGCTCAGCATTTTACTTACTTGCAACTAGGCAACTCACATCGAATCGTTATAGATATTTTATCCTGTTGTACGCTCTGAGGTTCAAAGTCCTTATAGTGGCATTTGCATAGTGGAAAGGTGGTGTTCCGGTTAGGCCTATATTGTTACAACTATTATGTCGGATCCAGATGATGCGCAAGGGGTGAGAAACAAATACTTCTTAACTTGGCCCCATGTGCCGCGGCAGCGCCTGTTTCCGCTCAACCCACATTGCATAGCAACTGCAGCCTAATAGAGTAAAACTCATGACGACGCAGGACCAATATGGGGGTGATGGGGGAGCAGGCTCCGAGGACGCTAGGGACGCGACAGCGGACAGCATGGTGCGCCCTATCGTCCTCACCCCAAAAGCTTTGCCATAAAGCTATAACAAGAGATGCCGGATTAATGTCTTGGCGCCGTCTTGCGTCGTGCACTACAGGGTGCCGAAGGACAAGGGTTAGGCAACTATGAGGATGGTCAAGGCGATTACGATGCTTCGCCCCTTGGTAAACGCTCTGGGGGGGGTAGAAGCGATGGGGGCTAGCCCGCTACTCTCTCAAATAACAAAACGTATGTGCAGGGCAGTCGCCTAACTCGCTATAAGACCCGGGGATTTGTGCGGACGACTATCGACTGCCTATATAAGGCACATATTCTCCCATATGCCCCCCATTTCCATACACGGTACCTTACCTTCTCCAACCATCACTACGATTACCAGCACACCGGCACAACCCGAATGCAGCCTGGTGTGCGCCCAGACCCGTACCTGAGGCTCCCTACCTGACGGGGTGACTGCAGGGACACCGCTGGAAGGCGCGCGGCGAGGGAGCGCAAACCCAGGCGGCGGCGGCGGAGGTGGCGAGTCAGACGACGATATGCCTATGCCGGGACGGCTTGAGGCGCTTGCCTCGCAGCGGTCGCGGTCAGCGGACAGCAGCTCACAGCGGTACTCCAGGCCAGGGTCCGCGGTGATCAACCTCCGGGGATCCCGGCCAAACTCTGCGGCCATCGCTCAGGAAATCGAGGGCTTCGAAGACGACTTCATGGTTCGTTTTTTGTGCGTCTGGGGGAGGGGGAAGAGGGAGCGAGGAGGGGGTGCTGCCGGGGGGTGCCACCCGTGCGGTGTGGTGCAGGAAACGAGCGGCATGGGGGAGGGGGTCAGCCAGGGAAAAGCATGCCAAGGACGACTTGCGCTCTGCACGTCCTGCGCGGCGCAAACGTGGAGGGGGATGGGACAGCAGGGGGCAGCAGAAAAAGGGACACCGGGAAGTGTAGAGGACAGGAAGACGGAGGAATTGGGCCCCAGGGCCGCGGCTGCGATGGATGAACCCCATGGGCGGGGCGAGGGCTTGCATTATAGCGGCCGGCAGGACGGGATACGACGTCCCACGAATGCGCGGATGCCGACACCAGCAGTGGGGCGGCGCGGGGAGGTAGCCACAGCTACGGCCTCTGGATCAACACCGGCGATGACATGAGGAGACCAGGGATGAGAGAATCAGCCGGGTTCCAATCGCCGTTCTTGGGGAAAACCATATACAACTCCGTGTGTGCGTGTGTGGGGGGGGGATGGGAGAGGAGGAGGAGGGTGCACCTTGATCCCTAGTACTTGATCCGTCATCACGATCTAGCCCCGCTGTGTAGCTAGTAGCCAGTAGCTAGTAGGCCGGACCAGGTTATTATGGTCGTCCTTTCCCCCGATACGCAAGTCCGCGGGGTGCGGTATGCCGCGCCGCACGGGCACCCACCTGGGTGGGTGAGTGGGTGACGTGCAAGGACCCTTCGGTGGACGACCTGCAGCGCCGCAGACAGCCCATATGCCGGTTGCGCCATTGCGCCGCATCCCATGCCGCCCTATCACCCTGCGCCGGCGCCGTTCTCTCTCTTAAACGCGGATCCAGCGCCCGCACTTAGGCAGCGCGCCGCCGTCTGCTGCTCTCTGCTCTCTGTCGTTAGCTGCGGCGCTGCGCTTACCTGTCGAACCCGCTGTCGCTGTCCGTTACCTGCTGATGTCGCCTCCAACGTGTAGGAGCGGGTGGAGGAGGAGCCGGAGGAGGAGATGATGGAGGAGGAGGAGGAAGAGGAGGACCTGGGGCCCAGCATTGAGGAGCTCATAGCGAGAGCGCAGCAGGAGCAGGTACGGGCTGTACGGGGAAGTTTGTGGAGAGGGGAGGGGAGCTGCTCGCGGGCTGTGGTGTGGTTTCGCGGTGACGACGTGGGATACGTGATCGTCACCCCACGGCATTAGCAATATAGCCGGTGGCCGGGGGTTTGCGGACCGGCGGGCGGACCCTCTCACGTTCTCAGCTCCTGTAAGGAGGGACGAGGGCTGGGGTGTGACTTTGGGCGGTCTTAGGGGTGGCTGGAGGGGAGAACCTGGAAGTGTCTGCGTGGTGTTTGCGTGGTGGAAGTGTTCGAGGTGCAAGTGTTCGGGGCTCAGAGACACCCTGTTGGTTTGGGTGAGCGTGGCCCCCTCGCCGTTCTGCGCGTTGGCCGTCCTTTTTTAAGGTCGATATGGAGATGCGGAAGCTACAGGGACCATGCCCCTACCCCTGCCCCACCCGCTTCTGGGCCTCGTCCCCACGCCGCCGCTCCCCAGGCGCGTCTCATGGAAGCCAACGATACGCTCCAGAGGCGCGCCCGCATGGCGCTCGACTTCCGGAACAAGGGCAGGCCACCCGTGAATCGGGACCTGTCCAGGCTGGACGGTGCCGCCACACGCTACCGGGCGGCGCTGCGGCAGTGGATCGAAATCCTGGAGGAACGAGACAGGTGCGAGAGCGAGCGTACTTCACTTGCCTGCCTGCTGTGCCTGCTGGGCCACTGGCGTTTGTCCGTCTACCTAGGATCCAGCAGAATGACAGAGCGGTCAACCGGTGGCGTGATCATCCTACACATCCATGCGTGCGTACTGGGGCATTTAATTAAAGGCAAAATTGGGGGAAGACTGCCTAGTTCCCGGGGAAGGAGGGGGTTTTCAATGAGAGCAAGGGAGGGACCTCCAGTCCTCCAGTCCAGGGAGGCGAGCGATCCCTGGTGTTGATCTGACCTGACCTGAGTGCACAAGTACACTCTGCCCTCCCGGGGGCCCCCTTTGCTCTTTTGGGCAACGTTGACCTGTGGGTCATATACATGTGTGTATCCGCCTTACGGCTGTTTCTCCGCTTCGCCACGTGTTTTGACTGTGTGTATGTACACGCGGTGCGAGGTACGTCGCGGTATGTCTTCATGTTAGCTTGACGTGCCCCTCTTCCTTTCTCTCCCCCCGCTCCATATCCTACTGCTCCTCTTCCTTCGCCTCCTCCTTCACGTCTGCTGCGTCTGCGGGTGCCTCTCCCGGTCGCGGCGGCGCAGTGTGGAGTCCCACTACCAGACCACCATCTTTGACATGAAGTCGGAGCTGGAGGAACGCATCAAGCGAGCCGACGACATCTCCAAGGCGTACAAGCACTTCCGACTGGAGGTGGCCAAGTCGGCGGAGCACTCCAAGACTTCGAGACCCATCAGCGAGAAGCTACTGGCGCAGATGGAGGCGGAGGGTGAGGCGGCGGCGGCGTGCGTGCGTGCGTGTGCACCTGTGCATGTGTGCGTGCATCTGTGTGTGCATCTGTGTGTGTATGTGTGTGCAGGGGCAGGGTGAGGGGTGTTGCGATTACGGGAGCTTTGGGGGCGTGAGGGTTGGGCAGACAGGGCGTTTACGGGTGGTTTGGCGGCTTGTAAAGATGGTAAGGTCACGTCAAGGACCTGATGTGTCTAATGCCTTGTTCCTCACACCTTCCTTCCTCCCGGCTGGCAGCCTTCCCACGCCTTCCACACGTGGAGGTGTCCCGCGTGTGTGTGCGTGTGTATGTATAGTGTATATACATATGTATATATACATATATGTTTGTGCGAGAACCCGCAGTGGTGTCAAGATTGGGGGGCTGGGTTTTGAGTCCACAGGCCTGCCTCGCCTTGCCCCTCCCGGCCCTGGGCCCCTTCCTACGTCAAAACGCCTTGGGTCGCTTTGGCGTCCGTCTGGTGTGCATCCGCGTCCGTCCCGCCCATCACAGCCTGGTTATCCTCGGAAGGAAACCCACCCGTCGCCTATCGCCCATCGCCCCACCACCCCACCCCACCCCGCACACGACATTCCGCCATCCTGGTCTTCTGTCTTCGCGTAACTTGTTTATTTTTTATCCAACGCCAAACCCACCACATATCCGCACGCGCGCGTGTGGCGGCTACCCTCGGCACGTGGCTCATTGCACAGACGCCGCCAAGGAGGAGGAAGTTCAGCGAGTGCGCCTGAAGAACATTCACTTGACCAACCAGCTTCGCCGCATTGAGCAGACCTTGCGACAGAAGGAGGAGCTGGCAGAGGGGCTGCATCTGATCGATTTTGAGCAGCTCAAGATTGAGAACCAATCGCTGAATGAGAAGATCGAGGAGCGAAACGAGGAGCTGCTCAAGCTGAAGAAGAAAACGACCACCACCGTACAGGTATAAACGGCGCCGTGTACCAGTTAAACTCGTTGTGGCGTCCCCTGCCCTCGCGCGCAAGGGTTGCTTCCTATCACGCTGTGCTGCTGCGATGAACCTGTAATTTGCTCTGGTGTACCCTAAATCCATCGCAAGTTGTTGTATTCTGTAGGGCGTATCATTCTTTTTTCGCTCCCCCGTGTTCACCTTTCCCCTCTCCCCCTCCTTGTTCCCCATCTCTAAGTTCCGCACTTCCCAGTCTTCTTGGGATTGCATCCTATGCTTTTTGGGTTTGCGTTCCAAGCTCATGTTTCAAGCTCACGCCTTCTCACCACTCGAAACATGTGCACCCGGCCGTCTCACGCTTTCCCTCCACGCACACACACACACACATACACACCGTGCTGTCCCGCCTCAGATCCTGACGCACGTGCGGGAAAAGTTGCAGTTCATTGAGAAGGAGAACGCGGCCCTGGCCAGTCAGCTGTCAGCGCTGGAGGCGGAGCTGGCTGACAAGCGAGACCGGTTGGGGCGGGCCAAGGCGGAGCGAGACACGCTTCGAGCCAAGGGACGCAAGATCAAGGAGAGCGGCTCCAACATCACCAGTTCGCAGTTAATAGATGATATTGAGGTGGGTAGAGGGGAATGGTGTGACGGGGGGGCCCGATATGTTTGAAATCCTAGGTAGGAAAGTAAAAGGAAAGCAAAAGTGGGGTGAGGGGGACACGGTGGCAGCTGGGTCGAGTTTGGAAAACCGAAAAGAGTAATTTAGGTCGCGGCTGGTTGCGGTTAGGTGCAGAAGTTTATCTCACCGAGCAATCTTCCCCCAGTGTCCATGTCCGTGTCTCCCCTCAAGTGCCCATAGCTCCCTGTCGCTGGAACATTCCTTTCTTATCCCCCCCAACACACACACACATAATCTTGGCATTTGCCCCCCCACCGGGATCTCCTGGATGATATCCTGCGTCCCCTTGTCAGATTCAAAAAGAGAAGCGGGAGAATTTGATGGTCGCCATAGAGGAGGCTCAGCGGCAGTATGCGGAGCTGTCGGACTCCATCCAGCGAACCAACACCCGTATTATGTCGGTGGCAGAGGAGCTGCAGCAGGCGCAGGCTGCGGCGGCTATAATTGCGCCAGGGATGTCGGCCGGCCGCAGCGCTGGTGGGGCGCCTGGAAGCCGCTCCATTACCCAGCGCTCATGACATGGCCGGCGTTGGGCAGGTTGTGAGGGAGGCGGGAGGGGGAGTGGTGTTGTGTGACCGTTGTGGCCGGGGGTGCGTGCCTGAGTTGTTTGGTTGCGGACTGCAGGCGTGGGTACGGTGGGATGGTGGGAGTTAGAAGCACGGCGCAAGGAGCCATGTAAAGGCCACTTCATATGAAGAGACGTAGATGTGTGGGACAGAGTTAGATAGGATAGGAGTGTCGCGAAGTTTGTGGTGAGATGAAGCGATGCAAGTTCAAAAGGCGGCATCGGCAGCGCACTGGAGCAAATGGCGGACTATAGCAAGGCTGTACCATGGATGGGAATTTAGCTATATACATTGTGCATTTAACCGTTTGGGGCAGTTCCCCACATGTACAGACCTGAAAATGTGGCGCAACGCCAAATGTACTAGCAGATGAGGTGAACAAAACATGAACGATAGAAAGGGACGTCCACAGCACCTTTCGCCAACGCCGAAGACATACTGTTTAGGCTTTTAGTTCTTACTTCTTAGAACGTGCATTTGAACGTCCTACCGTTAAGTCGTTATGGATCTGAACGGCGCTTTGCAGGGGCCAGAGTCTGCAGACGAGCTTGTAACTTACCAATGAACATGGAAATTGCAAGAAAATGTGGTCGCTGTCTCTCGTTTGATGCTGCGGAAACTATCGACCACGACCCTTAGAGGAACGCGAGCGCAACCTGACATTAAAATGCCTAGGAATTCCTTAATATCGCGCTGCTGGGGCAGCAAAGAAGCAACTCGGCGGCCTCAGCAGCGTGAAACTATTCCGGTAGCACAGGCGGCCGCTCCTACAGTTCCAGAGTACCAGTCCCGTGACTGCATAAACTGCAACGAAACGGCCTTTAGAGGCAGCACAGTATGTGAAAAATGCGGCCGGCCTCTGAGGCAGGAAGTGGTGGACCAAGAGCTGCTCGCAGCTGCCATTAAATGCATGGACCTGTCGGAGGAGCCCATGGCTGGCAAGAAATCTCCCCAGAATTCGGCCGCCCATGTTGTGCTTTTGGCATATGATGATCAGTGCCGGCGCCATCGCGACGAAAAGACCCTGGGGTCTTTCATCGGCCATACCCATCCAGAACGACCGGCGCGCGTCGCAGCCATCATGGCCAAGCTTCAGGAATCTGGGATTTTAAAACGGTAGGTAGAGTTCGGCACGCTGTGGGTATACAACCTGGCGGTATACCATTTGGACACCAAGCCCAGGTATGCATGCTCCTGCTTTAAGTGATTAAGCCGGACGGATGATAGGAGCGACACGCGCTGTCGTAACGCCGAGGGCCACCTAGGACATTTGTCAAGCTCCACTTGTTACTTTTTCCTTGGCCGGCTTTCCGTTAAGGTGCAAGCGGTACAAGGGCCGGGATGCGACGCGTGACGAGCTGCTTGCGGTGCATAATAAGGCACTGCTGGATGCGGTGGAAAAAGCTACGCAGGTAGCAGTGCTCGCAGCGGAGCGAGACAAGACGACTTGGTATGGGCCCCTGGACGCGCAGCTGGAGGCGATGGAGGCGAGGGGCAGGTACGACGGTACGGTAATACGATAGGACTAGCCGGCAGTGGCAGTGGGCAGCACTAGCTGCACAGTGTCTGCGCTTTTGGACTTCCATTTCTAGCGGGTTATATCTTCTCCCATGTTTCAAACCTACGTATCTAGTTTCCTAGGCGAAGAGTTACGACACCCACATCAAATTATGGGATTTTTTGGCCATCTGTGCGTTCTAGCTTGACCCAGATGGGCTGCGATGTTTTAATAACGAGCGAACGAGTGAGTGAACAGAGCACAGGTGAAACTATGCACGTCTTGGTTTCAGTGCATAGGTGAATTTATGCATCATAATGCCCCGCCTTTTTCCTCCCTTTGGGCGGCTTCGCTACCCTGCCGCTTGTGGCCCGGTACGCCGTCGGCCCGACACCCTATCCCCACAGCAAGCACATACGGGACGTGTACTTCAACCCCTCTACCGCGGCCTGCGCTCGTCTGGCTGCCGGCAGTGCGGCTGAGGTTGCCCGGCGAGTGGTGTCGGGATCCGCCCGCCACGGTGCCGCCATCATCCGGCCCCCGGGCCACCACGCTGAGTCGTCCGTGGCCATGGGCTTCTGCTACTACAACAACGCGGCTGTGGCGGCCAGGGCGGCGCAGGCGGCAGGGGCGAAGCGGGTGCTCATCATGGACTGGGATGTGCACCACGGAAATGGCACGCAGGAGATTTTCTACGAGGACCCGTCCGTGATGTACATTTCTACACACAGATACGACAGCAGCTGTTTCTATCCGGGAACCGGCGGTTTGACCGAGGTAGGAGAGCACGGCAGGAACATGGGTCCGTACGGAAATCCAAATGCCGTACCAAGGCTGCATCATGACAGGGCACTATGCATGTGTGTGTAAGTTCCCACACATCGTGGCAACTAGCGGCATGTGGGGGCATATATCGAAAATCGAAGGCCTCGTCTCCCTTCCTTTTCACTTTCTTTGGAACGCAGGGCTTTCCTTCCTTCCTGGGTAGTAACGGATTTATTTGTTACTTGTTTTTCAAGTAGGAGTTCAACTTCCGGAACGGGCAGTCCACGGCTTGTGAGGGGGGGCCATGGGAGGTTATCCAACGGACCCATCGTCATACTCCCGATAGCGCAGGGGACTGGGTACCCGTGTTTTAGGGGACTGGGGCACTGGGGTCCTGGCACATATATGTTCTGTTGTCCGTGTTGGCAAGGTATTTGGTCCTCCGTCGCAATTCGGTCGATTGTTCCATTACGATGTCGATTTCCCCCGGCTCCTGTTTGGGCTCTTTTTGGTCGCATGGGCCCTTTGGCTTCTTTCCTTACCTTTTTTCATGTTGTAGCTGTATCTTCTGCTGTGGTTAGCGGTCCTTTGCTAAGTGCCTTTTGCTCCTGGCGGCCCTTTCCCCCTCCTTTCGGCTCCCCTGGCGTTTCTTCAGACCGGCTCTGGCCCTGGTTTGGGTTTCACCGTCAACGTGCCCTGGAACGGCTCCGGGGTGCGGGATGCGGACATGTTGGCCGCATTCCGCCACGTCGTCGTACCGCTGGCAACCGAGTTCCGACCCGACGTGGTCATCGTGTCGGCGGGATTCGACGCGGCGGAGGGCGACCCGCTGGGCGGCTGCCGCGTCAGCACCGCCGCCTTCAGCCACTTCGCCGCCATGCTGTCCGCGCTCGCACCCACAGTGATGCTTTTGGAGGGCGGCTACAACCTCATCGCCACCGCTGCCGCCACGGAGGCGTGTCTGCGAGTGCTGCTGGGCGAGCCGCCACTGCTGCTCCAGGACGGAGCCCTGCAGGCCATGGCGGGGGCGGGGGCGCCGCCGCCACCTGCTCAGGACGCGGCCAGTGACCCGTGGGTCACTTCAGGCCTGGAGGGCGTCTCGGAGAGCGCCCTGGACTCCGTGCGACTGGCGCTGCGGGCGCATAATGAATTCTGGGAGGCAGCCGGGAAGCACCTGGCGGCGGTGGAGGCGGCGAGAGAGGTGCGTCGGTGGCGGCAGCTCGTACCGGAGCCCGCCACGTCAAGTGTTTGGCCGGGCCCGAGGCAAGGGGCGGGGCCACAGTCGGAAGCTGAGCCAGAGCCAGAGAAGCCAGCACTCGTCCAGTAGCGGCCCGGCAGGCCCCTCAAGCGGAAACCTAAGGTCTCGCAGGATTTAGGGTAATTACGAGGATGTGGATCCGTGCACCTGTGTCCGGTGCCGTGTCCGTCTTTTTTCCGCAGACAATTGCCTGTTTGATCGTTTCCTAAGCTTTGTTAATGACCTGCCTGACCTGCCTCCTGCACCACCTGATGTGGGTCAAAGGGCATAGTAAGGGCATAGTAGCATGGCCAGGGGGGTAAACCTTACCTTACTGGAGGCGGGTAGGCGCTTATCGCGTCGCATATTGCGCACGGATGTGCGCGTGTATGTGCTGGATGGTGCCCCGCTGCAAGTTCAGTGTGCTGTGCTGCGGCGGGCATGTCTCGCTTTCGCGGCCGCATGGCGATAAGTCGGTAGTCAAGGAGAAATATGGGCCTGAGCATGGAGAGCTTGTGGCCCGTTGTGCTTGTACTTTTTTGTGTGCGTTAGGACGAAACGTGGCTTCTATGAACATTTTCGCTTTTCATCCTATGAAATGGCAGGTAATGGCCAAACAGGTGATTTATAAAAAGGTTGTCCGTACAGGCCGTATTAGGCCGTACTATTTCGTAGTGGTCAATGCTACGGTTGGTGACGTTTTTTTTGGTATGTCTGGGCAAGCGAGGTAAGTAGCAGCCATGAGCAACTTGCTGCCTCCCAGCAGGATAAGGCCTGATAGCACATGTTGTACGGCAGGGTTTGATTGTGCTTGCGATAGCGCTAACGCACACATTAGCCAGGAAGGCATAGCCCCAGATGGCCAAATGGTCAGGGTGGAAGAGGATGTGCTTCTGCTTCATGTTCTGCGTTTAAGAGCGCTCTGCTTTTGGGTGTTGCAGCATTACGGGTGCCGCTAGCTGCTTTTATGCTTTGATGCTGGTCGATTGTTGCAATTGTTGGTGGGGAATGCGCGTGTGGTGGGTGGGGGTGTGTGGGGTGTGTGGTGGGGGTGGGTGTTGCAATTGTTGGTGGGGAATCGCGCTCGAGTTGTGCCACTACGCCCCCCGTCGCACACCTGGATTTGAATCTACCTGGATGACATGATACTTATAATTATTCATTCGAATCCAGTGATTAAGTGGATATCGATCACCCGCAGCAGTCCTCCTTGCAGAGCAATTGTATGGAGATGGGAAAACGAACTGTGTGTGTGCGTGTGTGTTTGCACGGCCATTTTAGGTTTGGATATGTCGGCGACAGTGCGATAAAAAAACGCCGGCACGCTTGCTACGGTGCACAACGGTGGGGTATCTATTATATTGCTGCAACAGTGGCGTGCTGTACCGGTGGACTTGTTACAAGTGCACTGGCACGACGTCCTTACCTACCCGCATTATTCCCCGCTTGCTCTCCCTAGTCCCCCCTGCCCATATCCCTCTCCCAAACACCCTCATCTCCAACACCTACAAGTGCTTGTGCCGCTGCCTTGCCCCGCGCGAAGATGATGGCCATGTCACGGTACTGGCGATAATTTTGAGCATTAGGATACTTGTTCCTGCTTTCGCCATTACCGCCAGCCTGCCGCATCTACACAGCACCGAAAATTGTCGCGCTAGGATGCAGATGGCGAAAAAAGTGTCCCCGTCCCACAACTCGTACGTGTCCCAAATCCACTACTAAACATTGCCACCGCCAGAAACACGACATACACAAAACCACGACACCCTTTATTGCATGCAGCATGCTATACGGGTATCCCCAGTACGCCAATGTACGACACCGCAACAGGTGCTGCTGTTCTCTTGTATACACGATGCGTGGTACGAGAATGGAATGATGAGGCCGCAAACAAAAATTGGTCTCGCCGAAGGCGGTGGCGGGAGGCCGCCATGTTTGTCTTCGAGAGCACACTAAAACCACACGCCTTGAAAGGATATCTCATCTCTCATCCTCCCGGGCACGATATGGGAACGAACCTACCGAGGCCGGCGCCAATGTAACGCAATGGAATCAACCCCTCCTCCATCCTCCTCTTCCTCCTCGGTTGCTCACCTGCTCCCTCATGCGAATGCAGCGAACCACCAGATGCCTTAAGAAATACACACATGCGCCCTCCTCCACATTTGTGCAGCGCGCAACCCACCGTCCTGCCGCATCCTCCCATCCACACCGACAAAACGAAACCAGGCGCATAAAGCTGCCTCGCGGCTTTCCTATTAAGCAAATCATGCATCATCACCATTACCAAGTGACAGACATGCAAGACAGCAGGGGCATACATACAGACGTCCACGTGGCACCCCTCCCGCTCAGCCTCTTAAATACACAGCCACAACGACACACATACATACACACACGGTGCCCCTCGCCGTCCTCCCTCCCTTCGGCCGGGACTGATGCGCCAGGAGCTCCCCCTCTCAGTTGTAATCTCTGCGCCACTTCGCCGTCCCTCAAGCGCCACTACCTCCCCTTAACCCCTACAAGGACCCCCTCTTCCCCAAACACGTACACGCACACACAAGAATGATGGCCCTTCCATTAGTTATATAACTAGTCCGACTACCATGATCGCGGGACGCCGAGCCCGCTCTTCCACCCACTTGGACAGTGGTTGCACTGCCGCCACAGCGGCGTCCTCCGGCGCCCTTCGGGGACAGCAATTTAGGACCCCTTAGTGCCTGTGTGCGTCTGCAGCATCTGCCGCCCGCCCTAGGCAGTCAGACATCACCCCCGACTCCCCAATATCCCCCCACCGCCTCTCCTCCTCCGCCGCCTCCACACCAGCGTGAGAGCTGCTCCGACCAAGAACGCCTCCTCTCCTCGCCAACCCCCCCAGCGCCCTCGCCCCGTATTCAGCTAATTAGCACACGGCTTTGGCGTGTGTGGCAGAGAGGTAGGCAGGCGGCGAAGAACCCCGTATGGGGAAATGGAGGAATGATGCAGCAGCAGCGCCGCGTCCATCACCGCAGGGAGCACCGCATGTATACTCCATATTCCAGTTCGTATTGCTGTCGGTGGCGGCGGCGGCCTTCCACCAGCCGCCATAACCGGGGCGTTAGCCGCTCTCGCCCCCGAGTGTGCCCCGTTACTCCGCAACACTACTCTCCTCCGAAGCCATTCCTTTCGTTCTTTCTTTATTCGTACATGCGCCACATACATACATATACACACACCCGTCCCGGACATGCACACGCACAAAGCCAACCGAACCCGCTCACAATGACACATACGTACACTCATGCGGACACATCACGCACATCCCGCAGCCTCTTCCGTTGTGTGTGAGCTTGTGTGTGTGTGTGTGTGTGTGTGTGTGCGTGTGTGTGTGTGCTAAACATCGCCGCCTGTTCGCGCGAGAATGCATATGCGGGGGCTCGTAAACCTTCATCAAAACACACACACACACAAACCCACACGCATTCGAAGGACACACTCCTGCCGCATCTTGTCACGTTACCACCGCGAGACTTCACCCCCTCCGCCGGCCCCCTATTCACCGATCATCTCTTCCTGGTGCCTTGCCTTGCCTTGCCTTGACTAAGCGAAGCGGAGTCGAGGCAACTACGGAGTTGGCGGAGTCGTACCGGCAACTCGGAAGTTGACCTTATGCTCCAGCCGACGCCGTGAGATTATGACTTTTTTTAGTTTGTGCCTTTTGTTCGGCCTTGGCTGCCATTTCAACGGAGGCGTACGGGCGCGCCCCCTTCTCCCCCCCACACACGCACAGCATCCACCGAATACATACCCGTACATTCACACGCACAACTGCCCATGTACCTGCATACGAGGACAAGTCACCACCACGAAAATCGAGTCAAGGACAGACAGTCAGGACAGACAGGCACATGTGGCACCTCATTTCATGCGGAAGCACGCATCACAAAGAGACAACAAAGCAAAGCTTATGTGTGTGTGTGTGTGAGAGAGAGAGAGAGAGGGCGCGGCATTCAAACCTAGCTAAGACGAGCTCACCACGCCAGAGCAAACAGGGCACGTCGCCTGTTCATATCCTTCTCCAAGGGACCAAACAGACATATGGACAGACAGACCGACACTGCGGCTCCAGCGGTTTGGTAGTAGTGGTGGTAGTGGTGGTGGTGCCGCAAATCCTACACGTCAGCACCTGCACCTGCACAACCGCACAACCCCTGCGTCCTTCACCACCGCCAACACCCCTTCCCCCTTCCTCCCCCGCACAGTCACCTCACATCGCCGTCGTCCGGCCCCCCTCCCCTCTCTCTTTCCCTCAATCTCTCTCTCTGCCCCTGCCCCCTCTTTGCTCCGTTGGGTCCCTCCCGCTCTTCCTCCCGCTCTTCCTCGCATACGAACAAGTTTTTGGTTCGGGCATCAGCCGGGCCGGGTCCCATTACTCCATGCTCAACACGATAACGGAAAGCCGACCAACCGGGGGAGTGTAGAGCAAATCCTCAAACCAAACGAAACCAAACACATCCAAACAGCTGCGACAGCGAGCGTTACATACACAGCCCGCGGAAAGAAACTCGATGAAAGCCAAACACAAAAAACCCGCAGCAGCCAAACACCCGAGTACCATCACGACACACGAAGCCAT